TCAAATAAAATGATGTTGCCACCAGTTATTATCGCAATGTATTATTTCTAAAGAAATGATATGGCCAATGTAAAAAATATATATATGGTGACATCGAAAATTCTAGAACTATGCTGCTGTAAAAATTTTTTCGATTTTATTGTTAAATTTTTGGCGTAAATGCGAAGAAAACGATGTTTGATAATAAAGTTAAAAAGACCCCCCGAAAAAAAAAATGTGTCAGCAGGAGTTGTCCAAAAGCAGATTGGTAAACTGCGAGTTCAGAGGTATCATAAAAAAATCCTTAACAAATTCTGTGGTGCGACGTTAAAATTCGGATTTTTCAGATTTGCTTTTCCTTTTTCTTTTTTTGCTTTTTTTTTTTTTTTCGGGGGGGGGGAGAGAAAGCTGATTTCCTTACGAGGTAGTGGCATATTTTACTTTTTAGGATATTGATTTTTCTTTTCGTCACCAGTTGACCCAACAACATATAATTGTTTGTGTGTGTTTAAAAAACAAACTCACTTCTAACAAAATATCCTTAAACTGGATGAAAAAGGTATGTTATAAATCCCGAGACATCAGACTGTTTCAAAGAAGGCTGTCAGTAATAATTGTTTGAGAAAATTTTAGTCTTATATTTGTAGAATTGTGTGTGATATGGCTTTTCAAAGGAGAAAATACGAAAAATCACTTACGCCGCCACGAGAGTACTGAATCCATATTGTAGAGTTGAATAACTGTGGCGTTCCGACAGATACTTCAACTTCTATTCATGAGATGGCGCCACGTGTAAAATCCAGTTCGTAATCGGAGCAGCAAGAATTATTTGTATGTTATTAGGGAGACGCGAAAGCCACAGTGACTTCAACAAGTCGTCACTAAAATGGCTTCCTGCCAGATCACGCATTCGTGACAGCAAGTATGAAGGTCGCTGATCTCCAAGTTCAAGTCCTTGTAGTAAATTGTATTTTTGAAGATTCACTTTCTGAATAGATTTCAATGAGCCGCTGTTCAGTTTGGAGTATTCATCTCCCAGTGGCTTTCAAGATTTAGCATGCCTACCACCATCACTACTGACCAAGGCCGACAGTTTCAATGTCACTTGTTCGCATCCCTCACCTCTCTTCTTGGCATTCGCCATATTCGCCCAACACCATACCATCCATCTGGAAATGGGATGGTGGAACGCTTTCACCGATCTCTCAAACAAGGTCTGAAGTGCCACAGTAGCACACACTGGACAGAAGCCTTACCCCTAGTCTTGCTTGGTCTTCGCGCAGCATTCAAAGAAGACATTGGTAGCACTTGTGCTGAAATGTTATATGGTGCAACCCTCCGTCTGCCAGGTGAATTCTTTCACCCAGAATCTACTCCAGTTATCGACCCTCCAACATTCCTTCAACGTTTACGTGAGACCATGACCAATATCTCGCCAACCCCAGCATCTTCGCATAACCAGCCAAGCTATTTTGTACATCCTGCGCTTGAGACATCTTCGCACGTATTCGTGCGCAACGATGCAATTAAGCCAACTCTAACACCTTCATATGATGGTCCATTCAAAGTTGTCAAACGAACACCGAAAACATTTCACCATCATCTGCAATGGTAAACAATCAGTGATTGGAATCGATCGTCTCAAACCAGCATTTCTAATGCAAGATCCAACAACTTCCTCATCAACATCACTCCCGGAAGAAAGCTTACATCCCGTTAAAGAGCAACCTAAAACTAACAGATCTGGAAGAAAGGTTAAATTTAACCCAAAGTACTTATAACGTACCGATGGTACTTGGGGGGGGGGAGTACTGTGGCGTTCCGACAGATACTTCAACTTCTATTCATGAGATGGCGCCACGTGTAAAATTCAGTTCTTAATCGGAGCAGCAAAGCGACATCTTTACTCACTCAGACTTCTCGCAACACAACTGTACGCGAAGGTAGCATGAACTGTGTTCCGACCTCTGTGTTGATCTCTGCAATGTAATTTAAATTGTAATTTAGTACTTAATATATTCTTTTGTTATAGGAGATTGTCTACTTTTATTTTCTTTAATTATATCATGCATTAAGCACACACGACCACCAAATAACCATAAAATTCAGCTCTGCAATTATTTATTTTGATATTAATTCAACAGTTGTATGGCATCAGATTGGGACTACAAAACTTATTTCTTTTATACAAATAAGAAGTAATTTTTGAGAGCACCAAGTAATATTTGATTATAACTTAATTGTGATAAGTTATAAATGAATCTGATGAAGCTCTGGCGTATTAGTTAATCTTGTCATGTCGTATAAAAATATTATCAGTAAGAAATCATAAATTTGTCTACCAATTAAAACTGTACCGATTGACGTTTAAAAAAATGCTAAATCAGAAGGAATATTAATTTATTTTAAGGCGAAAAATGCATCTGAAATAGGGTTGTACTTTCATTGTTATTTAATTCTCACCATTGGACACAGCATGTAAACAATGTAAAATAAATAATGTTGTTATATACATATAAAAGTATTATTTATTACAGTAATAATATTTATTTATTGTTAAATCTTCATTAGCATTATAGAAACAAATCAATATAGAATTAGTTATAATATCTCGATATAGGTTAACTTCTTTTCATGTTTTTAAAGATTTAGTACCATTTATTTATTTGTTGTAATTACTGTTATTACTTTTAATGTAAATGTCTATATTTAGGATGTAAAGTGATTTTTTTATTGATATGAAGGTTTTAGTGAGATTTTGATATTTAGAAAAAAAGCTACAACGCTTCTCCCTCCCCCCGTTTTCCCTGTAGATGGATTTTTCTGTAAAGATAGGTGGTACGGAATGTAAAGTTATTCCCTGTTCGGTAGAAAATTTTTTTTGTCTGGGTTTCAAGGTCACTCGGGTGTTCTTTTGCTGCCTGTGGAATGCTTCGGAAAAGGAGTTTACTAGTCTGGGAAATCGAGATGCAAAACGTCGTCATTCTGACTGCGACACCGAATTTATTCGAAAAGCATTATTTAGTTGCCAATAAAAAGGCCGCATCGTGACAGAAATTTTAGTTGTAAGAAAAAATTTGATGTGGACATCACATGACCTCCTTGTACGCCAACTAAATTATACACTTTTTTTTTTTTTTTTCTGAACTTCATTTAAACTTATTTCCTCGAATTACCCCAACTTACCGATTCCTCAAGGCAAGTTTAAAACGACATCAAAGATTGCAAATTTTGAAATTAAATATCTCAGTCAATTTTCGTGTATCTTTATTTTTTCACAATGAGTATAAAACTCTATCAAATATAAATATAGGAACCAGGAGACCACATTAAAAGTTAGATTTCGTATTTTGTTGAAAATTAATTTCTTTTAAATTTGAAATTCCCAAAACATGGATATTTCCATCATTTAAAAAACATCTGTATTTCGAAGTGCACTCAAACCTGTTTTTGTTTAGTGGATAGGGACCGCGTAAAAAAAATCTCACAAAACTTCACGAGTAATTATAAAAAATAAGAGTCATTTAGAGTTGACTTTTTTCAGTTACCATGTGATCAGTTTTGGCGACGACTGTTGTTTCACTAGACTCTTGTATATGTCTCGGTAGCCAGATATGCAGCATTGAAGCTCCCTTTTTTTAATTGATTATTTATTTTATTTTATTTTTGATAACGTCGTCAGTTATGTTCCGATTTGATTGAAATTTTCATCTACTACACGCACACACAAAAAAAGGGGGGGGGGACCGCATATGCCTACGACCAACGATTGCGAAAATAAAAGTTGGGTAAGTGATATATATATAGATGCCGATTGCGATAAAAAAAAGGGAGCTTATCGTTTTGGTTTTTGAATGTTTTTGATTTATGCAAGATACATACGTACGTACACACATCACACACACACATACAAAAAAAAAAAAAAAAAAAAAAAAAAGTCCATTTTATAATCTGTGTTGCAATAAAGAGGCCTTTATTCTGTCAATGCATACAGATGTTACGGAATATTTTGCGTGGAAATTTGGAAACCGAAATTTTTCGCGATTACGAAACTTCGTTTACTTTGCAGTGGTTTAAAAGCATGCAAAAATAAATAGCTTCTTATAGGAATATGTTCATAAATCCATTGCTCAGGCTAAAATCAATTGGATTGAAATAGCTGTTCACAATGTGAGAACATTATTAGAAAATTTTTGAATTAGTGTTTCAAATAATTCCTACAAATAAAAATGCTATATTATATAATTATTCAAGTTTCCATTAAAATAAATTTAAATTTCTACAGTTATTGACATACCATATCTAAATAAATTTTTCTCTTCGTTTGACAACTACCGTGTTATTTTTGCCTGAGTGGACTGGGGCGCACCGGTAGCCAAGCTGTAAACTGAACACTGGTAGTTAGTTCGGTCCGGGATTCGAATTCCATCGAACGGGTCAGTTGCATGTGCGTTTTCGGGGTTTTCCATATATGTAATGTATATACGAACCACCTTCCCTTAGAGAGTCCTCCATGAAAGCATTCCTTTCCTTAGGCAAATAGCCCTCGAGTGTCATAATCAAATAAATCAAGCCTCAGAAGACCTCCCGATCGTAAAGTAATTTAAGTGATTCCTTGTATTGCTGCTATAAAGGAGAAAATAGAATACTGAAATTAGAATTTCACTTTCTAAAGTGTAAATAACTTTTTATGAATTTATTTCTGTTTTTCCAGTAGAAGATACAAATAAAAACAATATGCAAAAATATCATCTTTTATGTATGTACTTTTGTTTCAATTCCTTGCTTTAAAATTAATTTTTAACAAAATAAAATTTTCTGGTTATTATAAAAAGATTATATTTTATGTATAAGATTGACTTTTATCCTATAGTTGTATTTGCTTTTAATAAAATGCTTTGTGTATGTTTAAAGTAGTTTTTAAAAATTAGCTTTTATCCTATAGTTGTATTTGCTTTTAATAAAATGCTTTGTGTATGTTTAAAGTAGTTTTTAAAAATAATTCAGCCTATTTATTCCAGCTTTTAAAATGATGTTGCTGAGTGTACTGGTTTGGGTAATCTTTATTGCTACATTCCATTCATGTCAATGTCTAGAGGAAGGACCCAATGTTTGTGCTAAACAAGAAACGTAAGTTTGTAGAATAAAGTATCTCAATATGAGTGGAAGTTTTAATTCCTATAAAACTTTGCTTAAAATTTCATTCCAGATACCTAACAACTGTAAGAGTTTCATATAATAAACCCTATCAAATACGTTCCTTCACATGGTGCTTTGCTTTTCCTCCGAGATGTTCAAGATACAGGTAATTATAAATGCAATTTCTTGATTATATTAAATTGTTATTGGAAAAGAATATTAAATGCAGCATTATTATTTTTTTAACTTTAAAAAAATTATATATTTAAAAAAATGATATTTTGTGATGGAGTTTTCATTTTTTGGGTTTTTATATGTATTAAACTTTTTATGTTGTGTATATCAATGTTAAACAGGGTTCTTTCTAAGTCCTGCATGTTTATTAACTTGTATAATTTGCATTTATAAATTACAGATACATTTGTTTATCAATTTCAGTTCCTCCCTTCTCTTAATAATATTTGTGTTTCAGGATAGCATATACAACTGGTTATAAAACTGAAGCCAAAGTAAATACACGGACTGTTAATGCTTGTTGCAAAGGCTTTGTTTTGACAGCTGATGAATCAAGATGTATACGTAAGTCTATTTTATTAGATTACTTAAAGGTATTAATTATTTTTCCCTCCTCAACATCATATGTTAAGTTATAATTAGATAAAAAGATATTTTTGTATATAAAGATAAAGATAAATAAAATAATAATATAAGATATTTTTGTTAATAATATAAAGATATTTTTGTTGTTTAATGAAGATTATTAATTATTTTGCATAAAAATATATTTTTTTTTAATAATGAAGAATTGAAAGTTAATAATACTGTTACGAATTTTGTATAATGTAACATGAAAAGTCAGAAGAGAATGAGGCTCCGCCAGAAAAATAAGGTTACAGGAGCAAGTTCATTTAACATTGAGGTAAATGGCTATCTCACTGGTAACTTGATTGTGTTTTGTCATACTGAGAAGAGGTTGGTATGAAGTACTTTTATGTGTGTATGAGTACTTTTATGCAGAATTGTAAAGTTTCTTTTGGGAAAACAAATTTTATCAAGCTACCATCAGTTCTGTGTGTGCATTCAGTCAAGTATTTTAAATTTGATTTTTCAGCAAATTTAAAGGTGGGAGGCCAAAAAATGTATAATCATAATAATTTCTTAGAAAATAAAAGGTAAAAGGACTTACCTTTTAATCGATCTTCTTTCTAATCCAAAGGCATATCCGGGAATGTTTGTTTCATTCATCGATGCACTACTCACAGAAAGAGAGAGGCTTCTAAGATAATAAGATATTTAATTTACAATCACATCACATCACTAAACTAAAATATATATATGTATAACACAGAAGATAAGGATTACATGTTTCACTCAAACGTCCATCACGAGTTCTCAAAGTTCAGTTAAAAAAGTTCTGTTTTAGTTTTTGCTGCGCGCATGCGCAAATCACGTGGTTGTCGGTGAGAGTTTCAACAAATTATGAACATGTATGCACGTAACAGTAGCTTCACAAAATAGCTTTTGTTGGGGGGGAGGGTGGCAGTTATAGACAAAATTGATGATATGAGGTTACATATATTAGTTTTGTATCAATCATGCTGAATGTTCATGCTTATGCATTAAAAATATTATGGTGACTATTTACTGCTCTGTTTATGGCATCAGCACTTAAATCATTTTCATATCAACATTTTTGTGGGTGGGGAAGCTTGTGAAGTAAGTTTCTTTATATACTACTTGTATTTGTCTAGACTGACTGATTTCTTAAATCATTCGTAATTTGCTTTGCATATATTTTGATATTTAATGTTAATTATTCGTCTTTGGCTTCTCAATTATTATCACATATATGGTTTATGTAATAAAACCTTCCATTTTATCTACATAATGAAATACTGCAAAAATGATACCATTGCAAAATTATTTTAGAAGGGTTACTGATATCAATTATAACACATAAAAATATCTTATTTTGTAGGATTTAAAAGAACTAAAAATCAAATATGGTGATGTGCAGGGAAATGATAAGCTTCGATGCTCTTTCTTGGTGATTGTTGTTGTAGGCATGTAACCTCTAGAGCAGCAAATCTCATTGATTTCATACCTCTTAAGATGAAAATAATTTTAGGTTGTATCCTGTGTAGTATAATGCGATGTGGTATTATATGACTATAATATAATTTATATATGTGTGTGTGTGCATGTGTAGACACAGCAACAAATGATAGTACTTCACACTTATGCAATACCCGATTTTACACTCACAAGTGATGAGTACCCCACTTTGTAGACCACTGCTGTAAAGAATGATTGGGTTTTCCACATGAAAATTCTGTAGTTGTTAAATATTAAATTGTGTTTATTATTTTACTGATAAATTGTTTTTAAAGTCATGTCTACAGTAAATTTGTCTAGATGCTCATCTTGTCTATCTTTGCTGTTTATCTGGCTGAATTTAAATGATTTATACTCTTGTGTTTATTGATTCCTTCACATGGCAAAAGATCAGAAGTGACCAACTTAGTAGAATGCGATGAAAAACAACTTTAACAAAATGCTGTGTTGTAGACTTTAATAATTATATATGAAAGAAGAATGCACTGCATCATCAGAAACTATTATTAAAGGATCTAAATTTGATTGTTACATTGCACAAGTCTGTAGTTTATTAAAGGGGGGAAAAACTAATCTAACCATATTCTTTTGTAACTAGTGATATTCATTATATGCCTCTGCTGAGAGGCTGATCAGTGCTTTCTGTCTCAGATATCTAATCATTCATATGAAGAATGCATAATGTATTTAGTCTTGGAAATATGTGCACTGTAGCTAGAATTAGCTGAATTTCCTTACAGGATTAGGGAAAAAATAACATTTATATTTTGGATGAATTCAGCATAAGTGAGATCAATACTTGTCAGTAAACATCATGAATTGTTTTTAAAAATTTATCTTTTTGTTTATATATTTTAACTAGTCCATTAATAAGGGTAAAATATAGTACATAGATTCTTATAACATATGTGCTGAGTAGGGTTTTGACCTTTCTGAAACTAGGAATTTTGAAAATTCTCACTCAATAATGCATATATAATGCAATTTTCTGTAAAATAATAATGCAAATTTTCTGATTTTTACCTACAGTTAATGAGCAAACAATTAAATAATAAATCTTTTTTCCTTCTTCTTTTTTCTTTTCCTTTTCTTTCTTCGCCCCCCTTTTTTTTCTCTTTTTAAATTTCAGGTTAAGAATAATTTTTATTATGATGTTTTGAATTGAAGAGTAAAGGCATATCTGTCATAAACATATTTCAATCAGTATTAATTGTTAAGCCATTATCAAAGTGCAGATTAATCTGAAATGTATTTAGTAATTTTATCAGTAAAGTTTTTAAAACTAGATATTTGTTTGTTACAATTAAGGTGTTCTTATATATATATATATTTTTTTAGCATTTTGCTCAAATGCTTGTATACATGGTATTTGTATTGGGCCGGAAGAATGTGAATGTCAGCCTGGGTTCGGTGGACCCACCTGCAATGTCTGTAAGTATTGGTTTTGATGTTTTTTGAAACATACTTATTTTTAAACAGTATTCTTAAAAACTTCAAAGATTTTCACTTCTCTTTCTTTTTCTTTCCTTTAAGTATATCATGGTAAGTAACTTTTAAATTCATTTCCACTCTATGAAATTTTTAAAATTACAACAATAATAGAAAACATAAGTAAAAATATTTATATATCAAAATTACTTTTATAAATTTATAAACTAATATAAAAATATTTTATTTCATATTTTATTATAAATATATAAACTAATTTTATATTATAAATTTATTTATTATTATTTTACTGCTTTTATAAATCTAAAAGTATTTTGTAGTTAGAAATGTTAGATTTTACTATACAGTTAATCTTACTTATTACTTCATTTTTTAAATAGCTTGTCCAGCTGGTAAATATGGAGCTCAGTGTGAACGAGATTGTATTTGTGAAAATAAAGCACTTTGTGACCCTGTAACTGGTGTTTGTACTTGCAAACCAGGTGAGAAATACTGCTTTAAATAACTGAAACTGATTTTTATGATTTGCTTGATTGGTTTTTGTTTTAACCTAACGTATAATCTGAAATAAAACAATGTAAAAAAGGATTTTTTAAGACTTCTGGTTTTTCATAATTTGGAAGAGGAGGCTATACTGCGTATGCATATGACAGTAATAGCTGTGCTGGTAGATGGTTAAGTTCTGAAAAGCTTTTAATATTTTTTTTATTATCTGCCTACCTTCCAATTTCAACCTATAGTAGGAATTGCTATGCTTTAAACATATTTTTGCATAGACATATGATGTAACCAACTAATGCATTAATTTGTTTCAGTACGCATGAATTAACATGCCTTATATGTAAACGTTTCACTAATCAGTATCCATCACTTGCAAAAATGTAAATTTTTGCCCATATAGTTGCTTTCTATCGTAAAATTTCTTGTTTTTATAAAATGCATCTTTTTATTAATTTATGAACAGAACTGCAGGATTTGAGCTGTAAAGATTCAGATCTGCAGATATTCATAAAGTCAGCCGTGAAGTTTGCAGTTATTCATGGGGGTGGATAATCAAAACGTGCTAAGTATTTTTAAACCTAGTCTCATTAATTAGTGAGCATGTGTTGGTTTATACATATATGCACTTTTACCACTATACTACAGTACAAAGTCCGTAAACCGGACTTGTTGGGACTTCGGCGATTCTGGCTTAGGGGTTTTTCTGGAGCATCAATTTAAATCTGGTAAGATAGCTTGCAGAAATTATACAATTAAAAATATGAAACCGTAATTTATGAAATAAAGAGCAATTATGATCTAAAAATTATCAAAATATACAAAAAAAAAAAAAAAAAAAAAAAAAAAAAGAAGTAAGCTTAATATTTATTTGTTTACTTTATTAAACATTTATTTCAACGTAAGCTGTTTAAGTTGCTTCCACAAAAAATTCTAAAAGTTCCTTTTTCTTAGGTCATATACAGTTGACTTTCCAATGCCATACTCCTTGCATAATTTTGAGACGGATATGCCTTTATCCATTTTTTTTCAGCAATTCCACTTTTTGTTTGATGGACATCGAAACATGCTTTTGTTTTGTAGGTCCTTTGGCAGCTTCAGAATTGGAAACTCTTTTTGCCATAATCGAAAGTTCAAGCTTAATTTTTATAAAATTGCTCTAACAGTCTGCAAAAAATAGTAAGCCAAATCCAATTAGAAGATTAAGGAACAGTGCAATCTACAACATCAACTGAAATGCCTTAGAATCAGTAAGGATAATTTTAGCCTAGTGCTATAACCATTCGTTATGCATTAAATGTGCATGCGTAAACGCATTACGCGCATGCGTTATGCATACAAAAAAAAAAAGTTTGTGGCTTTTAGGTCCGGATTATAGATCATTCCGGATAATGGACATCCGGATTACGAACTTTGTACTGTATAAGGCTTTTGCCTCAGTAGAGGGTAAAATCTATTTCACTCAAAATCTGAAATGTCTCTATAAATGTATTTTTGTTGAAATGGATTCCCCCCCCCCATGACAAGTAGAATGACACAACGCTAACAAAAACCTATTTACATAAATTGATAACTTCTTTCTTGGACGCTTTCACAACTGTGTGCAGTTTCCCCTTTGGGACAGGATTGCAAGTTCGGGCATCAATAACTAAGCATTGAGACAGAAAACAAAGAAAAAGGAAGGTGCATTAAAATAACATAACTACTTTTATTCGCTTCAAAAGAATGATTGGCTGGCATGTCATTTAAACAAAAGCAATGAGCAGTGCAATAACGTGATGGGGGAAAGCACTAGATAGAAAATGATCCAGGAGCTCAGGTGACCTGCCCATGTCTGAATGGTCAAGTGCTTTGGACAACTTCGAAGTTTAAGGGATAAATCAGGTATGATATCATATCATCTTAAGGGATAAATCAGGTATGGATCTGATCTTTCTTTGACTACTTTGTTGCCCAACCTTAATACTGTACTCTTCCCTCCCTTCTCAGGATATATGGGGGGGGGCACATTTTTGTTTTTAGCTATATCAGAAGTTAGAGTACAAAAAGCAGATCATCAATAGTGACATATTGTGCAGTGTAGAGGAGGAAATAACCTTTCATATACACTACATGTGCAAGTAAATAAATTATGTTCATTTTAAACAAATGAGAAGTACTGGAGGATGATTTTATTAGCTTTCTTATGCAATAAAAAGAGCAAGATGCATCATATGAGTTTAACAATATTTTGGCAAACTTTTGAAGCAGTAAAAAAATAAATAATAATTTAAAAAAAAGCAAAAAGTATCTTTTATATTGTACTAGTATTTGTGACAACCTTTTGAAATGCTGATATTCTTTTTCAGTAATGTTTCGTAATAATTTTTTATATGCAATTATTTAAGTTAATTATTTTTTCTGCTTACATTTGATAGGTTGGCAAGGCTCAGACTGCAGTCAACCATGTGATAAAAATTATTATGGTTATCACTGTGAACAAGAATGCCGTTGTGAAAATGGTGCGTCTTGTGATCCTATTTCAGGAGCTTGCATATGTGCTCCTGGTTACAGAGGACCATTGTAAGTAATGCGTAGCTAGAAATTGATAAAAAAAACTATGTCTAAAATTACAGAAAGTGTTAATGACAGATATCAATCCATGTCTGAAAATGTTCATGACAGATATAGGATTGATTCACTAAAAGTTCTACTGAAAAAGCCATTTTGTTAATAATTCATGAAATTAAAAATATGTGAATAAAAAGAACACTTGAATTTACTGAACTGATATTTAAAAACTGCTTCTATTTTTAGTAAAATTAGGAAACTTTAAGAATAATTAAAACTATAGCTTGTTTAAGTTGATGGATAACTCGCTCAAATGGCTTGTTTGTACTTAATTCTCTCTGTGATGACTGATTAACCCTTTCATGCATCCATGCCAGCAATAGAAGCAATTATTTCCCCCATTGCACGCTGGTGTGACAGAGCATTTTCTCATTCAGCCCCGGCCATTACTCTTTTGTGCCAGTGTCTTGAAACTTTTTAACAATCACTAGATTGTGCCTTGTGTCCATTACTTTTGAACTGAATATAGTTTTAGGATCCTGACCTTCAATTTGATCACATTCTGCATAAGATAGGTGTTAGCTGTAGAGAGGGAGGAGGGGAAGGGAAGTGTAAACAGTCCACTTCTTTAACTTACCATGTGATGTAAATATTCACGTTTCTGATATCCCTTTGCATCCTTTTATTATGCTACAATGTAGGATATTTTAGGTTTACAGTGTGGGATTCCATTAGGCTTTGCATTGCTCTTATCACTTATATTTTGCATACTTTCCTTTTTATTTTGAAAGCCTTGAGTTTATTACGGCAAGCAAGCGTTATTTATTAGACGAAGAATATACGCCATGGTAAATGAGCCAATTAGTGAATGAATGAGGGTGATGATTTATTTTGTAAAGATTTAGCGACTGATATTTCTAGTGATTTTCATATGGACATTTTGTCACAGATTGAGCTCACTGATTGTCTGCCTTCCAGTTCATGTGAAAGATTTTGTTTCTTGTCTTATAAATAGCCTTTCTTTTATTTTTTTTATTAATTTAAAACTTTTTGAATTAAAGCTTTGGAATAATTTGAATAGTGCTTCTGAAAATTATTTCTCAGAGTAAGCAATTTTTTTACATATATGCATATTTTAAAGTAAAGAGAAAAGATTATTAAACACTAATTTTAACATATATGATAGCTTAAGTAATAATAAAAAATAGTACCAAAAAGTATGGCCTTAGGACTTTTTTTTTTTTTTTTTGGTTAGGCTTAGCAGACGCAAAACCTGCATCCTGTTGGACAATTCCTGCCGATTCTCGTCCGTCCTGAGGCAATATCTTAAACAAAGGCACATAGTCTCAAAAGAGTTAAAAGTAAAATTGACATAAATGGGCAATTTTAATAAAGCAAAATAAGTATATAATGTGCCACCCAATATTAAATTTCTCATATTTAAGAAATAGAAACTTCAGATACAAAATTACATTTAAAGTTTGTAACTTACTAAAATAAGTTACAAGTTTTCTACTTTTTCACGTCATTGAAGCACTGTTTATAGGGACTGGAACTAACCGTTTACAAAGAACAGTTAATATTTGAAGCTCAAAGGCATCCTATCTTTTATTCATCTTCAAAAATTTTCCGCCCACATTTAAAACAGTTATACAACTCATACTTGTGTTCTAGATAGCGTTACATCACCATATACTGTTTGAACCATCTGTAATGATTCAGTAGCAGATTTACCCTAATTCATAACAAAATTTAATATTGTAATGTTATTCCATCTCGAAGCAAATTTTTTAATACAATGTCTTCTTAGTAAATGAAAATGACTGTGGCATTTTAATATGTAGATGCCATTATCATTTGGTCTCTTAATGTTTCCAGTTACTTGATGGGTGTGCCTTGTATGTTAAATCCAACAATGAGATATTATGAAGCACTTAAAAATGTAATACAAAATTATGTTTGCAGACACAATAAGATTTGTAAAGAATACATTACAACAAAAGTACAAAGTCCGTAATCCGGACTCGTCGGGACCTTGACGATTCTGGATTATAGATCATCAATTTAAATCTGGTAAGATGGCATGCAGAAATTATACAATTAAAATATGAAACCATAATTTATGAAATAAAGTGCAATTATGATCTAAAGAGTATCAAAATTTACAAAAAAAAAAAAAAAAAAAAAAAAAAAAAGCTTAATATTTATTTGTTTACTTTAGTAAGCATTTCTATCAATATAAGTTGTTTAAGTTGCTTCATCTACATAATTTCTTGTTCAGTTACAACGTTCCACTGTTCAAGTCCTGTAATTGCTGTGTCGAGAATATAGACTAACTTGTCAATCGAAATTTTTTCGCTTTCAAAAGCATTCTTTGTTACTTTCTTCACTATCGGAAGTGAACATGGGTAATTGCTTTATGCGCATGCGTAAGTTTGGGGCTTTGAGGTCCGGATTATAGATCATTCCAGATAATGGACGTCCGAATTGCAGACTTTGTACTGTATATCATAATGTATATGATATCACTGATAATATCATAGACTTCTACAAACAGGATAATAGATTTTAACACTATTTTTCTAACTGGAGAGCAGCCTCATCAATATGTTGTTCAATACAAAAGAAATGTATTAAATGTAAAGAAATGTAGTCCATTTACTTCAGAAATTTGTAGTTATAATACCTAATGAACAGAAAGAGTAAGACCTTTTTAAAAGAAATATTAGAACTTCATGAAGTTCATACTAAAAGAATAAAGACATACTGAAATTAGTCATTCTATACCTGATAGAAGAACGGAAACGGAAAGATATGCGCAATTGTGAGGAAGTTTATGCTTTTGTTGTCCATTTATTGAGACATGATGTTAGTGATACGAACGAACATGATTTTAAAAAATATTACATTTCTTACATTTGGAGGCCAATTGGAAAGAATAGACTGAACATTATTGTAGGTATTGATAGTTTAGAGTAGCCTGCTATTGTTAGGTGCAAATGGAATGATCTGACAGCAATGAGCTCTCAATAGATAAATAGTGAATGGTGACTATTATGCAACTGTACAGAAAACCCATTTATGTTAGCTTGAGGAAAAGATATGCATTAAAAAAAACAGTAATTTTTGCTCCAGGCTTATGCCTGAACATATATTGGTATGGAAGCATTGTTGGCAGTAACTGAAACTGCTGGGGGAGCTCTAGAGCACTTTCCATGTAGTACAGATTTATGATCATGTGATTTAGGGTGTATTTCCAATAACGAAAAGATATTTTCTTCATATGAAAAAGTGAAAATGTTATGGATGCAGTGTTAAAAAAGAAAGCACAAAATAATGTATTTTTAATAAGCTTTAATTGTTTATAACACATTGTAAAAATATATGTGGGAAACTATATGCCAATGTGAAGGATACTGTTTTAAGAAAAATGTATGATTTGTGTAATCAGCTGATTCTTAGTAAAAATATCGGTCTCTTCTCTTTCATGAGTCTTTCTTGATGGTATAAAATCCATATTTTACCCCCAGAAACTTTCACTAGCTCTCCGGGTAATAAATTCTGCATTAAACTTATTTATGTTCTAGTTTAAATGTTTTTAAATAATTTTGGAAGAAAATGATTTTATATCTTTATGGCTTAGACACGGAGCATAAATGTACATACATGTTTAATTAGGTTTGTAGTTGTCTTCAAAATTTGTGGTGTATTAATTTAAAAAATTGGTGGCATTTTAAAAGTGCTCAAACTAATATGACAAGTATTTAACATCTATAAAGCTTTGAAATTTTATTATTTCCAACATATTTTAAATTATGTTAATGAAGATGAATACATGAGGTTTAATATTTTCAATTGAACTGTTTTACTTTGCAGATGTACAGAACCTTGCCCTGAAGGAACCCATGGTGAATCATGTGCCAATAAATGTGACTGCCAGAATGGTGGCACCTGTGATCATGTGACAGGCAGTTGTTTCTGTCCACCTGGTTGGACTGTAAGTTTTGCATAAGTACTGGGTAAAAAAGTAAGAGTAGATATATATTTGTACGTAGTGTGAAAAATTCGTAGGAATATACTTATACAGAAGAATATTTCTGTACAGAAATGCTACAGAAATATACTTTATACTGTATAAAATATAATTAATAGAAGTATATTTGTACATAGTATAATGGAGAAAATTCATAGCTACAAAAATATACCTAAATAAAAAGATAAGTAGGTTCTGGTAGCAGTTATTGATAAATATAAATTTTTAAAATAACTTTTTGGTGTGAATTGAAATTTAAATATTACTTAAACCCTTGAAAAGACTGCACTCCAGACATAGATAACTTGCCTATGATTCCCAGTTAGTATAAGAGATAAAGAATGAACCTGCGATTCTGCTGGTGTGATAAAGACATAAATATTTTCATTTTTCTTTATTTCTGAATGATTTGAATAATTGGTTTTGATAACTTTTTGTAAATTATTCTAATTTTTATAGAGATAATTGGCATGTTGATTTACATTGCTTATCACATAATGAGAAGAAGAATCCTTGTAACTAATTTTTAAAATTGGTATTTTTAGGGTGCTGTTTGTGCTAATCCATGTTCACCTGGTTACTATGGAGATAAGTGTAATGAGCGATGTGTGTGTTATAATGGAGCTTCATGTCATCACATAACTGGGAAGTGTACTTGCTCAGCTGGTTACCGAGGTGAACGATGTCAAGATGAATGCCCCCTTGGCATGTGGGGTTTAAATTGCTCAAATGTGAGAAAGTTTTCTTTATTTAGTGAGGAAATAAAAAACATTATTTTTTGCTTGAGCTTGTAGTAATAGTTGCACATTGATGGATTCAAACGTAACAAATAGGGAAGAGAGGAAAAATAGGATGGGGGGGGGTGGAATCTGAATATCTATATAAAATATTCCTTGCAGATGTATTTTACATTTTGTCGCTTGTCTTGTTTAATAAATTAATTGGAATTTTTTTAAAAAAAATATTTATTATTATTTAAAGTTAATGCAGTTTTTTAATTATGTTTTCCATTTTATACAACAGTTATTTATTATGCTAGTTATTTATATGTTGCTGGTTTTGAGAAACTGATTAGTATTAATGGAGGAGGGTAATGTAAATAGATGCTTTTTCTGTAGTTATAAAAAATTAAAAGGCCCATTTTCAAATTTTGCTTACTTATGCTTTCCCAGAAGAATAGAAAGAAATTTCTTGATAAATTATGTTAAAATTTTAATTTGAGAAATGCATTGTATGAGATGAATGACTAAAATATTTCTACAATTCAAAATATATATATATATATTTAAAAAAATCAATTTAAATTCTTAAAATGTGTGATTGTAGGCAAAAATGCCTTCTCCTTTCAAGTTTAATGTTATTCAGCTCCTTTGTTTTGTAACCTAATTTAGTTTTTAAATTGAGAAGTTTAATTATTTTAAATATGAACTATTAGTGTGTTATATATTCATATAAAAATTAATTCACAGAAGTTTTTCCTTTAGCAAATCAATAGAAAAATATTTTGTCTTCCACTTCATGGCCAAGCAGTAACCTTGAGATTATTTTACCCAAAATTAGTTTGTAAATCTGTGTCTGAAAAGGGCAGTACATATTCAGTGATTAGATAAACTAGTCAAGCTAAATTTGACTGCTTTGAATATGTGCTGCCCCCTTTAGGCAGATTTACAATTTAATTGGGGGTAAAATAATCTCAAGGTAACAGACTTGACATGAAGTGAAACAAATTATTTTTATTGATTTCCTATATTTTTATCTAAAGATTTTCAATTGAATTTTTTTATGTTTTAAATTGTAGAAGTATATTTATAGTCATTTTATGCAATGCATTGCTCAAATTAAACATTAAATATTAATTTATCTTGAATGTTCTTTTTTTTCCTTCAAGGACACGTATGTGAGCAAAATATGAAAATGGGCCAAAAACTTTATTGATTTTGGTACAGTTCAATATAATATTGACAATAAAAGCTATAAGAAAAATTTTTGTGTAATAAAAATTTAAAATTGCAATGCTACAGCTCAAAGTTGACTTTTTTTTAGGCAGTGCAATGTTAGCTACAGGTTGTTCTAACTATCAGATAAAAAATCTCAAACTTTTTTATTAAAATATGATCTTGCACAGATCTTGAACCTAAGTTTAGGGGGTAAAAGTTATTTTTCCCCTAATTTCATCCTAATTTGAGTATTTTAATTTCATTTTTTTTTCAAACAGTTTGTTATATATAATATTTATTATTGATTTTTAATGTTATGTTAGGTTCAAGATATTTAATCAATAATTTAAAGAAAATCTGTCTGAAATTTGAAGTCGATCATGCAATTAATTTTTGAGCTAGGTCATCTTACGTACGAAAATAAGTATCTTGAAAAAATTATGTTTATAAAATTTTCAATAGAAAAAAATAGTACTCAAATAAGTAGACATATCGCTATATAAGTTTAATTTGCAGTGCTAGTGTCATATAATATGGCTTCCTGCTTTCTGAAATCGTCCATTTGAGCTGTCAGTTCCTATTTCTGATGGCCTCTTTTGATCTGCTTTGGCTCCATGGGGACTTTTAGGACTCCAGTTTGGATTTACAATGTTAAAAATACATTCTTAAGATATTTAATGAGTTTTATATGGAATAAAAAAAGAGTAAAGAAATCTAGTTCTACATGACACTCCCACCTTAAATATATAATAATTTTTGTATCTTTTGTTGTATTATATTTAGCATTAATATGACATGTGAATTAAACCACTCTTTTTCCTTTTATTTAAATGTTCTAAAAATATTTTTGAAATGTATCGTCACTGTGTGTTGAAAAGAGATGTAATTTAATTTAAAGAAATGTAAAGAGAAGCGGTTTTGTAATGTTAGCTATACTAGAATTTGTCATCCTATCATTTAGGGAACTAACTACATAAAAAAATTTAAATTTTAAAATTCATTGAAAATTTTTCATTTATTTATTTATACATTAGAAGCAAATAAGGAATTTTATAAATATGTTTCAAAATATTTTGAAGACCTACATATGGATTTTCCAGATGGGTATATAATTGAATCTTATCATTGATATAAGTAAAAACATGTTTGAAAACAGAATTGTACTGTCAGGTTGTGTGAGAAAAATAAAATTAGACTGTTGTAATCCATAATTGTGTATAAAAATAGTGAAATCTCAGTTCATTAGTATAATTCATTTCTGAAGGCCACTCATCACCTGAAATTAAAAAAAATCAAAACTATTTTTCCCTTAGTATTAATATAAAATGCATTGAATCATTCCTGAACCAAAGTTGATTGCTTATTTAAACTTTTACAACTACTATGCAGATCTAACAAAAATAATCAGTGGAAAACATTAATCTTAAATAAATAAATAAATAAATAAAAGTAAACTAGTATTGAACAGGTGGAACTGTAAGTGGAAGCTAGTGAGAAACAGAAAAAGAAGAAATACTATTATTATTCATAAAGGAAACCCCCCCCTCAAAAAAATAACAAGATTTTATGCTGAACAGAACAGTCTGTATGTTTCTTTTTCTTTTCTTTGTTTCATAGGAGGTTACAGTGGTCACCTGTTAGGTGCTTCCATAATGAAATGGCCATGACTTCTGGCTCTTAGAGGCGCAAGATTAATGTCTATTAAATAAAGTGCCCAGCCATTTAGGGGGTGGGATTAAGTCCATGTTTTCCTCTATGTATAATGTGTGTATAAGTCAGTCTCTCTTAGAAAGTCCTACCCAAAGGCATCCTTCCCCTTAGGCAATTAGCCCTAGTATGCTTTGTCATACAGCCTTTGAGTGCTTTGCCATAATTCAATAAAGAAAACCAAACCAATCACCATACATATAGTTCACTTGTCACATAAACTTCTGTGGTTTATCATTTGCAATGTTCAAGATACCTTTATAAATTAATTCTTATTTGTAGCTGCATTTTAAATCAGCTGCATGTGTAAAAAAAAAAAAAAGATTTCTTGGTAAATTTTATAAAAAACAAACATCAAACAAAGTTTAACAACGAAGTTTTGATCTGGAATTTTAAAAGTTCTCTGAATTCAGAAGATCACTGTATTGATTTTGAATTAACTTTAGGAATTATTATAATAATTAAGATTGTAGCAAATGGAAATTAATGTTATTTATATTTTTCTTAAAAAAAATCCTAAAATTTGTTTATTTCTGATAAGATAATTTTTGCTTCTGGTCATAGAACAAGATTTAAAAATAATAAATAAATAAGTGGCTGCCCTTTTTTTTTTTTTTTTTTTTTTTTTTTTAATTTTTACTATACATTTGTGATAAGAAAATTTTATATTTAATTTGGTTATGAAAAGTTCTTTAAAGCATATAGTACTTTTAATTGTGGTTGCTTTTCTTCAGAATTGCAGCTGTGATAATGGAGCTCATTGTGATCCTGTAGATGGAACATGCATCTGTTCAGCTGGATTCACAGGGGAGCACTGTGAGACCAGATGTATGTTTTGCCCATTTGTATTTTAATTTTGTTTGCATAACAATAAAAGAATGAAAATTTTACAACCCTTAATGTAAAATAAAAGCGTTGAAAGTACTTACTGTAAGAGCAACTTATGTAGAATTTGGATATACTAACAAACTATATATAGATATTTTAATTTGTGATGGTAATAATGAGTAGAATGAGAAATCATGTTAAGGATTAGCTGTGGAAAAAAATCATAAAATAAATCAACTAAAAATTAGCCCAGAATTATTGCATGTATCTGTAAGAGATTAAGTTAAATTATATGTATTATTGAACTTTAATGTGGAATAATAGTTTTGCCTTTATCTAAAAGAACTTTTTAAATCAAATTGTACTTTTATTTTTCAGTGTGTCCTGATGAATATTTTGGTGCAAATTGTGATCAGATATGTCAATGTAAGCAAGATAATACTGAGTTGTAAGTTTATTAAGCTTATTCATGTTTAGAATTTTTTCCCCCTTTGACTCAACTGCTTCTATCTTCTGTTTGTCTTAATTGTTGTTTTGCTAGTTTCCTATATTTTATGTTATTAAATATTTGGCAGTATTTTTGTGATTCTTGGTGTTGGTGTATCAGAAGAAAAAGCATAGTTCTTTTGTAATTTATTCTTTCATCACAATTACTTTAATAATAATATTAACATATTTTGATCTGCTTTTTATAAAAATTTCCTCATCATCTTATTCTTACTGGAGTTTTTTTTTAGAGTTCATTCAAATTATTATTTGTAATTTAAATCTTCAAAGCAGGAATAATTTGTATCCAAATATATTTAAAGAGTTAACTTAAAAATTTCCAGTTGTAATATATTTAATTTTATTTTGATAAAAAGGTATTTTTAGACATAAAATTCATTTAATTTAGACCATTCTTTCTATGTGTTATGGGGATAAAATTATTTCTTTAATTACAAATCATGTTTGTTTGGTTCCAAGATTTTTAGTTCCTTGTATATGTGCATAGAAACATCAAAATGAAGTTATACACTTATTAACAGTTCATTTTGTTTTATGTGCATATTTTAATGAATTTTTGAATCAATATTTTAATATTTGTCTGCTTGATTAAAATTAATTAATTCATCTTTTCATGTTGATGAATTTTTCAGTATATTATTTAAAATATAATGTTATTTTGATTATTTTATTTAATTTCATTGCATTGAAAATCAAACTGCATTCTCGTGACATTTCTCTTCCGAAAATAAATTTTGCTAAATACTTTTTTCCAGATGTCATCCATGGACAGGGCAGTGTAAATGTTTGCCTGGTTGGACTGGTGACTATTGTAATAGGCCGTGCCCACCTCTCAGCTATGGAATAGGCTGTGAACAAACTTGTGAATGTTTCAATGGAGCTTTGTGTGATCCTGTCAATGGTACTTGCATTTGTGAGCCTGGTTATATTGGGAAACAGTAAATATCTATTCATTTTTTGGCATCTTATTTATGAATAAGTTACCTTGTACAAAGTGTAAATTATTTATATATATATTTCTAATAAGAAATTAAATTACTACAGATTTTCATTTATTTAAGTTTTTTAGAGAAAATGTATGTGAAATTCTCAAAACTGTTTTGTTTGTGCTGATATTATGTATTACCAGAAATTTTTCATTTATGCAATTAATTTAAATTTTCTTCTAATATTTTTCAAAAAGGGTTAAACAAGGTGAATTTTCAAATGAAAGCAACATTCAAATATTTTACACACTTTCAGGTGACTGGTATTGATGTACCATAGATCTAATGACAAGTGCAGTTTAACAAACCGTACAGTAGTTTGTCTCCATGCACATGAATTGTATAGCTGTATATTCAAATGACCAACTCATTACGAAAAACCCAACGCCTTACATACCAGAATATAAATCTTCTATCAACTCTTGGCTGGTAAATAAACTTATTAATTGTATAGACATCTGACCTTAGCCTAGTCATGCAGTCTGGCATGCAGGCATCTAAAATCTGCTTGTGTTCAAAATTGCCATTTCCTGAGATGCAGTGACTAATATTCTAGTGACTCCACAGTGGCAGTCGAACTAAAAGGTGATGGACGATAATTTATCACTACCAGGACTTGGCATTTGAGTTTCCTAATGCCCAGTTGCTCTTTAAAAAAGAAAGTCTATAAGGTATTTTCTCCCTCTTTCCAGTATGCCTTCATGGTGTAAGGGTAGCACACTTGACGCATATTTGAGAGGTCCATATTCAAGTCCTGGTGTGGGCATTACTCATTTTTCATGTCTCCTGTTTCAAAAACCCTAATGACTTTACAGTCCATACAACTGAAAGTAATAAAACTGTTCAGTTTTGAGGTAGTCCTATAGTTAAAATTTTCATATACAAGTCTGCATCATGCAACAGAAAACTACAGATAATTCTTTTGCTCTCAACATTTGATGTTAAATAATATGTATAATTATTATCATATGAGGAAACTTGGAAAAGAATGGAAATATTTACTATCTGTACATTGTAATATTTCTTATATTAATATTCCCTAATATTTATTTTTCAAGAATTTTTTATATCTCTCGGTAATTGTGAATGTGCATTCTTTACAGTTCATCAGTCAATTAATTAATTATTATTTTGAAAGATAATTCTCTCCCTCCCTTCTTTTTGAATTTGATATACTAAACCAAGTATTGGGTTTTGAATGTTAAATATAATCTTTGACTGTGTGACCCTTAATAAAAATCTCTTTCTCTCTATATGTCTCGTAATATTTATATGTTTCATTGCTGTGTAAATATATTGTACCTGGTAATGAAAGATAAAAGAAAATATTTGCTTAAGTTTTTAAATTTTCTCCCTCTTAGTTGTGAAGACAAATGCCCCAGTGGTAAATATGGAAGAAATTGTGCAAATAATTGTACATGTGAAAATGGTGCTTCTTGTTCACATACTTCTGGTTATTGTTCCTGTGAACCTGGTATGTATTTCTAAGCTTGCATTTTAAATTTTGGCAATTTGATCATATTTTCCTGTGCAGTGTTTTACTAATATATTATGTTTTTGTAAAAAAGTGCATTAAACCCTCATGTACTATGTGATTATCAAGAATACAGATGAATTTTAAATTATTTCTCTAGTTTGCTAGAGGTTATTTGATAGTAGAAATAAGATGTACTAAAGAAGAAGATGAAAGTAAATAATTGTTATGTTTACCTCAAAGGATTACTACATCTGGACTTCACATCTGTTAATTTAAACTTCACACTTTTTTCCTTATACAGGTTGGCTACAAAGATGCTACCATTTAAGATATGGATATTTTGATTTTCAGTGTATTTACATGTATATCTCATTTGTTACCTCACTAGAACGAGTAAACACATTCAACTTGGTCACAGCATATCTGGTGAACATTTATCTATTGGATAATTCTCTCCACGATACAGTGATGCATAATGACCAATTCCAGTTGATTCATGTTGGTAATTCATTGATAAAAGTTATTGATGAATTCATTGATGAAGTTGCAAGGTTCTTGTTTTTATTTTTCAATAAAATTGTCCCATTAATTAGCTATTGTTGGCAGTTGATTATGAATTTTCTTTTATCTTTGAGATCAAAGTGAATTGCTGAATAGAGTATTAAGTTATTACTTTAATATCATTTTGTGATAACTGTTATTTTGTAATATTAGGTGGTGTAAATAAAGAAGGTTTGTGCAAAATTTCTCTTTGTGAATATTATTGCACCCAGAAATAAACCTAATGGCTATTATGAACTTTTATTGTTTCTGAGCCTTTTTCTTGTATTTCTTTCTCATTCCTCTTTTCTCTCTCTTGTTATTGTTGAAATTGTGATATACTTTTTTTAATTTCAATATTTTTCATTTTAATCTGTTTTAAAGCAAGAAATATAGTTACAGTTGCTACTTCTTTCTGAGCTGAATTTTGCTACTTCTGCAGTAAAGATTAAGTTTTATGATTTAACAAAAAGAAATATTATTTTGGTTTGAGAAAAAAATAAATGTAACATTTGTATTTTTCATGTATAAAAAAAATAATTTTTGTAATGCTTGATAGCAAACTCTTTTTTGAAGTGGTAAATTATAATCTAAAAATTTTAGATAATATTTTAGTTTCAGTTTTGTATCATAGTGCTTAGAAATTCTTATGAAAAATAATTCCTGTTCTGTTCCTTAGGTTTCACTGGCATAAGTTGTAACCTTCCATGCCCTTTGGGAATGTATGGGCCTCAATGCCAAAATAAATGCCAGTGCCAGAATGGTGGGGCATGTGATCCTATTACAGGCAAGTGCTCATGTAGAGCTGGATATAATGGAGACAACTGTGGACAGAAATGCAAAGTATGCTATTAAATTTCATATCTCAAGTGATATATAGTAAACTAATTAATCTGGTTGCAATGAAAGTTTTCTGCCAAAATAAACTTTCTTAATAAAGTTTAAAAAAATGAAAGTAGTATCTTTTGTGAGTAGTAATATACAAAAAGATTTGGTACACAAAAAGATTTGGGTGTAGACACCCAAATCTATGATTTTGTGCCAACATTTTGGCAGTTTTACAAAACGTTCGGCCCAGAAACTTGATGGTGAGTTCAAAAACAGATCAACCTCATTTCAGACCATAACTCTAGGAATGGGTCAAGTATATCTAGGCCACAGACAGGTTGGTTGCTGGTACTCACCTGGCCTCCTTCTAACCAACACATGGCCATCGGTGGTATCAACGAAGAAGTGGTTTTTATGAGAAAACACAAGAGATCTCCACTCCGTCCTCCAGTGAGCACTAGCTTGACGCCACTGACATTGCAAACGGTAGTGGTTGGTTGTCAGATGAGATACAGACTATAGGGTGTCTGGCTTGGAGCTGTCCTTCAAGTAAGTAATGTGTAACAGTTTTTTTTGTGTTACTGTGAGGCCAACTGCAGCTTGAATTTCTGCTGCAGATACAGTACAATGTGCTACAGCCATACGCTGAACAAGTTGATCTTCCCTCTCAGTTGTGCCACCTGGAACCAATCTTGAGGCAGTACCTTTGCTTGACCACTGCTGCCAACATTCATGCACAGTAAATACATTCCTTCCAAGTCTTTCTGCAATATCGCAGAAAGAAAATCCACATTCTTGTAGCTCTGTTACATGACCTCATTCAAAATCTTTGAGCTGTTGTTAATGGCTTCCTCATCTCCTTAAAGGCATTCTTGATTAACATCAACTCACTATGTCAGATCTCAACAATAAGTAATGCTCATGATCTTTACAAGCATGTATTTAAATTAAACCCAATATGCAATTCGTAATGGTGCTACTAGCACCACACTTACATGTCTAGCACAGAATTTCAATAGATGTCATCTTTCAGATGTATAAACATGCCTATCAAATTTCATTTATTTAGCACAATTCCTTCTTGGTGTTGGGAATTTTTATTTCATCTGTGTAGTCCAACTGCACCCCCCCCCCAAGAAGATTTTATTCACGGAAATCCACAGAATTCGTGTTCTTAAAAACATTAGCAAGTTTTTCCCTTTAAACAACTGTGTTTGTGTATCCATATCTAGAAGACTATAAACACATATTATGTAGGAAAAAAAAAAAAAAAAAAAAAACGTCACACATGTATATGTATAACAGCTGTGTAGTAAATTCAAGAACCATTTTAACATTATGGGTTTGGAGCTCAAATTTCAAATTTCTCCAAAATGTTATGAATAAGCGTTGTTTTCTTATTTATAATCTCAAAATGATCCTCTCACTTTGTACCCTGACTCCTTTTCTTCTAGTATACATCCAACCCAAAATTGGGTTGATAAGGATCTGGCTGAAATTTTCATGTGTAAGGAATAGGAAATCCATCCTTTGATCTCTGATGTAATATTTTATGTCCATAGTGCTTGGAGTGTGAAACACTGAAAACAACTACAGTGGAACCTAAAGATACGAGTTTAATTCATTCCAGCCAGCATTGAGCTTGTATGGCAAATTTCACATATCTAGAAACAAACTTCCCCATTGAAAATAATGGAAATCCAGTTAATCTGTTCCACACCCCCAAAAATATCAACATGAAAATCAATTTTTCTAATAAATAACACTGGTAAATTATATAACCATAGTTTACCTTTATGATAGCTTCTGACCCCGACCTTTTAACTGCTTTTCATTAATCCACACCAACAGCATCTTCTAGAACTTTGGACTGTGCTTGGAAGTAATGGTAACTCCTTTGGCTGCATCAAGTTTCTTAATTTCTTTTCCTGCTTCTTCAGAATAGTGCAGATTGTTGATGTCAAAAGGCTGTAAATCTTCGCCAATTTCGTTACTCTTACACTACGCTTATGTTTATCTATGATTTCTTTCGTATTTTCAATGGCCATGGCTACCATATTTTTCTCTGCAGCACTATGTTAGGCAAAAATCTTCTTTGGAGGCATCATGAAATAACTATTTTCACGTAAAATGTAATAAACAATTGACTCACAAGCATGCAAACACGTAGATCAAAAGACATTGAGTGATCTGACGAAAGGATTCCCCGAGTTGAGCCGGTTAGACAAATGGCACCATGCATACCAACAGTCTGGCTCATTGCTCGTTACTTGAGTTAGTACTCGTATTTAGAGACCAATTTTGTCTCATACTTTCCTCGTATCTCGAATTTCTCGTATAGAGGTGATCTCATCTCGAGGTTCCACTGTACATGTTTGCTGTTTAGATTTTACAATAAAATCAAGTGTGTAAAATATGTATAGTGAATTCATTAAACAGCTAAAATAACTAAATGTTTGCTGTTGACTTTTTTACAATTAGATCTGTAATTTTAAAAATTCACTTCTAGGTCTCGTATGATAGAGTGTAGTCACTGTACCATAGGTGGGCGCAGCTTCCACAACTTTAGCTTCTGTGTTTATGTTCTTTCTTGAGTTTAAGGATTTTACTATGCACTATTAATATATACTTTCCTGACGTGTGTGTATACATATGCAATTTCTAGGCATAATTTTATTATTGTATAAATATTAGAATAATCTATTCCCCCTTTTTAGCATAGTACATATGGAATTAATTGCACACAGAAGTGTGACTGTGATTGGAACAATGCTGTTGGTTGTGATCATATTACAGGAAAATGTCTGTGTGAGAAAGGTTGGCATGGTAAGTATTCAAATGTATTGTTTAAGAAGTAAATTATTGTGTAATAACTGAAGCAGTTTTCTATCAAAACCATAGTCATCCTTATTGTTTTATACTTCTTTATTCCCCTCCTCCTTTTTTTCTAAAATAACATTAGTTAATATAATGCATGTATGCAGATACAGAAAATGCATGCTGTTAGTGCATTGTGCATAAAGAAATGCCAGTTGGTACTATTTAATGCTTAAAGTATATTGTATGCTGCTTTAAAAGCGAATATGTGTTTAATTTTAGAATTGTGATAATTTGAAATAAAGTAAATTTTATACAAATTTAAATCTTTGATGAACATTTTTTATAATTGGACAATTTTCTTGATTATTTTTTATGTGTTTATAGGTATTAGATGTGACAGTCGATGTGAACGGGGTCAGTGGGGTCCAGAATGCGAAAATTCCTGTGATTGTAAGAATAATTCATCTTGTGATATAATTAGTGGATTGTGCATTTGTGAAAGAGGCTGGACTGGCAAAAACTGTGATGAAAGTGAGTAATAAAGCTTTAATGTTTTACATCTTTTGTTTGCATTCATGCAAGAGGAAAGTTTTAAACAACTGTGTTTGTGAATATTCCTTTTCAGTATGTTATGCAATAGCATCCATTCTTTGTTAAAAATAGTTAATTTAAAATTTTATACAGTCAAAAGTCGTTAATTTGGACACCCATAATTCGGAATAATCTATAATCCGGACCTCAAAACTAAAAACTTTCTGCACATGCGCCGCATTGACACATGCGCATAGGCGTTTACGCGTGCGCGTAAAGACCTTTTACGATGCGATATGAGTTGCGCACGTGCAGAATACGTTTTCGCGTGCGTTTAATGTATAATGGAGTATAAGCTAAAATATCTAATTATCTATTCAGTTAATGTTGAGATTGCGTTGTTCCTTAATTTTCGAATTGGATCCGTCTTATTATTTTTTGCAGACTGTAAAGAGCAATTTTATAAAGTAAGCTTAAACTTTCGATTAATCAAATAGAATTTCCGTATATATTTGTAATAGGTAAAGGATCTAAAGCAAAGTATGTTTTGAAAATCCGAAATCTGTTTATCAATTTCACGGCTGCCCGCCGGTAATGAATTGGAAGTTGATCTGTCACACTATCCTTATCTCAGGGCAGATGTTTTTTTATTTTATTTGGTTAATTGAAGATCAGAGTTTATTTTATTTGGCTTATAATTCCTACCAATGTAGTATTTCATCTCGATATCTCCGTCTTTGATATGATTTAAAACAAGTTCCTCGTCATTATAATTCGCCTCCGGATAGGGAAGAAATAACAGAGGTTATTGAAACGAAAATTTCGATTGACAAATTAGTCGTGTTCTTGACACAGCAATATAGGACTTGACAGCGGAACTTGTAACTGAAAGAAATTATGTCTGTTTAATAGAATTAAAGAAAAGTATTACAATGAAACGAAGAAACTTAAACAACTTACATTGAAAGAAATGTATTAAGTAAACAATAAATATTAAGCTTTTTCTTTTTGCAAATTTGATACCCTTTAGATCATAATTGTTCTTTATTTTATAAATTACGGTTTCATATTTTTAATTTTAGAATTTCTGCATGCCATCTTACGAGATTTAAACTGATGATCTATAATCCGGAAAAATCGATAATCCGGAATCGCCGAAGTCCCGACGAGTCCGGATTAACGACTTTTGACTGTATTATATGTTATGATTTTAGTTAGACTGAATTTAACATCATTGTTGATTTAAATTTTATTGCTACTTTCAATGATCATACATTTTAGTAAATCATAAAACATGATTTCTGACCTGATATTGGAATCAGTGTAACACAATCAATTTTATGGGCTAATTATTTCAGATTATAATTTGGAGAACCAGAAGCAGTGATAACTTTCTACATTCGTCCTTTTAGTTTAATTCATAACTTTTTGTATTAATATGGAGAAGATAATTTTTTTCAATAATATTCTTGCCTTTTCCCCAAAAAGATTGAATGATATTTTAAAAGTGAATAATAATTTTGCACTTTAGTTAAATTACTATGACTAATATTAGAATAGAACAAAGTTATGGCTTCTTTAGGAGCATATCATGATTGTTACTCAAAACCAAAAGTTGATCATTAAAAATTGCAAAAAAAATTGCAAAATTGTGCTTTTCTCCGACACTAAATCTTTTGATTCACATCTTTGAGGAATTGCAAACTAGAAGTCTGCTGACTTGTTGATAAGCAAAATTTCATAATATGGCTCCTGCAGCTTTTGACAAGTCGCTCAGATTATTTGCAGGAATTGAACTAGAGTGTGCCATAGGCATACCACATCAGATGTTTTTAACAGGATGATGTATTTGCTGCTGATAGTATAGTTCAGCAGTATCAGCATTATGTGGTGGAGCAGAAGGTTGTCTTATGAATAATATTTAATGCACAGTATGAGTTTATGCAGCTGAGGTTATTTTTTTGGTTGAGGGGTAGATTTTTTTCCCAACAAGTTCATGTGTTATTGTAGAAGGCAAACAACAAGAATCTGCACTATATTTGTAAATTTTGCAGGACTATTTTCAATGGTTTAACTACATAACTAGCTTCCTCAGCTGCCAAAGTGCAAAATGTTCATGTGTTCTTCATGTTAACATAGAAGTATACCTTTTTATTTATTGATGATGATTTGAGGTAGTTATTATCAAGGCAATAAGTCTCCAAAGAAGCGTGTCTAAGATTTCCTTATAATTAGTTACTTCTGGGTTCCTTATGATTTCTTCATCAGATGTATTATGAGCATCTGTATGTGATTGGTTCTTAGTGCTGGAATCTTGTATCTATAAAATTAAAGAATGTTATATTTTTAGGTAGCATGAGCTACGAAACCTATAAGACTGTGTGAACAATTATCACCAGGTCTTAGTTACGACAAAAAGTCAAAAGAAGGGTGTAAAGAACCTTTTATTCACTCAATATAATTTCACGGATGGCCCACAACTCAGAACAGGTAATGAATAAGTTTAGCCTAACGACTCACAGGATAATTAGAAGTGCAGTGACTTGTAGAAATTGATGGAAATAAACCTAAATAGCGCTCAATACCACAGAAATCTAATCGGGGAAGGGGGGGGAACTTCCAAAACTTTCTCTTAAATATCACTTTTTCCTGCCTCTTTTGAGTACATGTGCGCTAGCTTATTAACATTCTGGCAAGAGAGCATGGGTGAAAAATGGAACTGAAAGAAAAGTTTGCTTTAAAAAATTTAATTTTTGCTAAATTAAATGAATCTCCATGAGAACATTGCAAGTGCATGCTTGCTCAAGTTGCTGCTCTGAATAATAGTTCATCAGCAGCCCTGAATGGAGCTGATTTTCAAAGTCAGCATTGCCCTCAGTGAAGCATGTAAATAAATATATGATGCTCACTAATAATACTCCTCAAGAATGCAATTTTGACCTGAAAATTCAGCCGCATTGAGCTTGGGTTTAAAGTCATAGAACAGACAACTGCGAAAAAAGAACTTGTCTTAAGTTTATCAGAATTCATGTGTGAAATCTTGGATTTGTCTGCCCCACAGCTTTTTTTTGCATATATCTAATGTAGAAATTTTGAAAATGTTCTAGCCAGCAGATATTTTGCTAACTTTTGAAATGACCAAAACTTCCACATTGGCCCAATCTATTTTAAGTACTTTTCATTGTCATTAAATCATATGTGTTTTATTTTGTTTTTAATTTTTGAATAAAAAAGTATTCTTCTTAATTGGCCTAATAAAATAAAGAATATTGTACCTTTCATTATTGGCATTCTTAATTGCATTATAATTTGTTTATGCATTACTTATCCTGATTTTGCACATCTGCAGCATTCCTATATGTTCAGATTTTTATTTTTTGTATGGTAAGTATATTACTTTCATATTGAGAGTTTACTAATTGAATTTAAAAAAAAGCATTTTAATGAAAAATTGAGATTGGTTTAGTGAGGTATTGCCAATATTATTATAATGAGAATACAATGTTGAGGTATTGTTAATGTGTATTTTAATTATACATGACTTGTTTACTTTTCAGCTATTCTAATTTTTTATATTTGCTGTATATCAAAATATTCTTTTTTGAATGATAATTATTTACAGGTTATAAATATTTTCAGTGTTATGTAAGTATTGATTTTGTTTTTCCTTTTTCTTTTTCTGGCCCAAATTTTATCTAACTGAAAATGTATAGCAAGTTATCTGATAAATTCTATTAAAAATCAGGGAAAATGTTATCAGTAAACTTAGTTGTGGATGATCTATGATTTATTATGATTTTGTGTGAATATTAAATCTTTAGTTCTGTATTTTATAGAGTGTCCACAAGGTTACTTTGGATATAATTGTTCAGAACCGTGCCCTTCATGTGTTAATAGTAATGGAACATGTCATCATGTAACTGGCCGTTGCCACTGTAATCCTGGGTTTACTGGTCTTAGTTGCAGTGAAAGTATGTGTTTAGATTTATTTAATTTTTACATGCTTAAAGTATGATGAATGTTTATCTGAACTGTTTAGTGAAAACCAAACATAAAAGTATATTATGATAATGTTTTAATTGTATTAAAAAGTTTTGCCCTTGATTGTAAGATGCCCATGTATTATGAGATGTACACTATGAAGAAAAAAGGAGGGGACAGTTCTGTATCTCCCATTCTACTGGGCCGATTGACGAAGTTCAAATTGCGTTTTTTATGTCTTAAAAGCACGACTTAGGTTGTGTATTAGATTTATATATAACATTGTTCTAATATAGGTATTTTGACACAAAATCAGACTTTTTCTGAAATGATATACCATTTTTCCCCCATATTTCGAGTCTACGACTCAAATTATGCCTAGATATTAAACTTTGTAATTTTTAGTGCGACATTTACCGAGAAAACTGTTTGCGGCGCAAGCTAGCACACACGTAAATGACGTTCTTTCATGCCCTGTCATAAATACAGATACAGTTTTTGCACCAGTTTCATCAACAGTTCTGTTTGCAGGAGAGTCGAAAGCTAACGGCGTTTCATCCATATTTATTATCTGTGACCGAAGAAGTTTTTTTTTTTTTTTTTTGTCAATAATAGCTGTCACATATTTTAGAAAAGATGACTTTTTATCCTGCCAGTCCATTGGTAATTGTTGCTCGATTGTTGTTCTAGTACAGAAATAGCACAGAAATATTTGTTCTTTTCATAAATCTGCTACACCTTCTTTGAAATCATTTATGTTCATTCGTTTTGCTATAAATTTTGTTTGTAAGCGAATTTTTACAGTCGAAATTGCCATTCCCTTTCCTCGTTGCTCCTTTATCCAGTTTGCAAGGTCGTCCTCTAGATTTGGCCACCTTACAGTACCGCTTTCTTTGGTCGTTTCTGTTGTGGCATATTTTTAAGAAGTTCTTTTTCAGTTCTCCAATGTCGAATACATCTGTCATCCACTTCAAACTCTCGAGCTGCTGCTCAATTTCCAATTTGTTCAGCACATGAAATTACATTAAGCTTAAAACCAGCAGTATAGCTTCTGTGCCATTTAGGGACATTTTCAAAAATTTTCCGCTCCCTTCTTACTTAAAAACTATCCAACAAGTACTTGTACCCAAACTGATGGGATCTGTATCTGGCAGAATGCCAAGAAAAAATCCATTCATGCTGAAGGGGAAATATGTCAGAGTTCGTTATTGGGAGGCAGGTGGTGTCTGCCTTTGAAAAAAATTGCAGAAAAGGCAGGGGTGGGGAGAGGATGGGTCCTGGAAGATTCATCAAATGGCAGAGGAGAAAGACCATTCAAACTGATGAGAATGTTGATTTGAAAGGGGGAAGAATGTTATTGTTCTGAGATCTGTTTTAGGTTGACTAAGGCATGTGTTTGCAAAAAGCATCTGAGTGGTCTTTTGTGTGGGAACAGCACCAGTCTATGCACAATGACAAGGCCATCCAAACTATGTACCAGGACCATCATAGGAAATATTTTATTTTTAGTGAATCTTAAACACGGCACCCACTGAAAATTTAAGTTTTAAACACGTAAACGCCGTGGCGTTTCTTCCGGAAATTACAGTATATCTTTGGAAGTTTTGAATAAAAAAACTCTAATTTTTCACAGGTATGCTAGAAATAAATATTCTTTAAGATATTGGTAAATAAATTATAATTCAAGTTTTTTTCAAAAAATTTATAACAATTATTTAAAAATACAAATTTTAAAAATAAATCATAAAAATTGGGCAAAATTTATTTGGAATGAACCTAAAGTTCAAAATGTGAAAGGAATGAAATAAATTTAATAAAAAAAAAGAGAGATTGATAAATATATACCAAATCAGTTAACATTGAGGAGTTAAAATTTTGAGAGCTAATTTTTTAAAAACTACTTGTGCAATTTTTACAAAACCTGGCACTTTGGCATAGTTTGAGTTGGTGTTGAATCGAAATATGGGAAAAATATGTCATGTCATTTCAGAAAAGTCAGATTTTTGGTCAAAATAACTTTATTAGAACAATATTATATATAAATCTAATACATATCCTAAGTTGCGGTTTCGAGACATGAAAAACACAAGTTGAATTTCATCAATCGGCCCAGTAGAACAAAAGATACAGAACTGTCCCCCCTTCTTTTTTTGTGTGCAGTGTGCATTGTTCTCTCATAAAAATCCTTGAGTTGTTTCCGGAACCATATTCAATTTTTGCCTTCATTTCATTATCAGTTTGTATGAAACTTCAAGTATTTGTACAGAGCTTCTTCAGGGCATCAAAAATGTGCAAGTCATATGGTAACAGATCTACTCCATAAAGGTGTAACTGAGGATCTCTCATATGAATGTCTGCTAGAGGTCATTGGTTTTATGTACTATATAAGGGTAAGAATTATCTTTGAGCATGCAAAGTGCTATTAGCAAGACGTATAGGTCTTTCCAGCTTTGCCTGTAAGTATCCAAAATCTGATAAAGACTAAAATAAAAAAAAATTTTTTTTTTTTAAAAATAGGATTGGCCTTTTACCGGAGCTCTTTATTATGGAGTCATTATCATTTTCCTATTTTACGTATGGAGTGACTATACTTTTTTTCCACACTCTGTGTTTTGTGGTTCTCTTTTAATTTGTGAGATGAAAAGGAATATTCTGTTGTTGGAAATTTGAGTTCTTGATTATGCAGCTTTACCAATTCATTGTGGGGGGTCCTCTCCTTTGACAGCAATTATTGCAGAAATTTAATGATATTGATATATGGCATGCTATGTAGAATAGCTGTAAATGATTGAGTATTCAATGTTAACACATTTTAGAAAACATAAATTTGTATGTAATGATGGTGTGGATAATTTTGTAGCTAATGTTGGCTTCCTGAGTAATTTCATCCACTGTTTTTATGTCACTCTTCATGAATAAACACATTCACTTTTACAAATAACAGCATAGATAACATGTGCTAGTGCTCCAGGTTGCCTGTCATTTTCCTCTGATGATAAATGGTAAGCAACCTGGAGCATGCCTATTATGAAATACATGTTAGTCTTGTGACATGCAATATTCTTCATACATTCTTATTATTCAGTTTAGAATTCAGTATTTCTTGCTTCTTCTGCCAGTAGAAACTTCTGTTTATAATACTTTGAACATATTCCTTTCCCTTTGTCATGAAATAGTGCTTGGATTGCACACAAGGCAGTCTGTATCTGCTTTGGATCATATGATGTGATGCTTGCTCTAAATGGTACCCATATGGATGTTCATTGTTTTTCTTAGGTTTTTGCTGCTATCCTAGTTTTTGGTGCTGTTATCCTTTTTTTATCATAACTCAGTTTTTATATAATAAATTCATATCTTTAAAATACATGAAATACATTTTACTTCCCAATAATTTAATCTTATATTTTAAAAGTATGTTATTATACAAGTAAAAAGTAGGTTAATTTTACATTGGTGATAAAAAAAAATTCAATTATTCCATCCCTTCATTATATATAAGATAATGTAATATCAGTTTATAATCATTAGCTTTTAAAATAGGCATTATAAAATGCTTAAAAATAATATTCAACTTATAGCAACATACGATTTCATTAATTTACCCACATTTTTTTTTTTTTTTTTTTTTTTTTTAAAGTGATATTTTATTTGGAATGTTTTATGTATTTAGAATTTTCTTAAAATTGCAGCTTGCCCTAATGGACACTATGGACCTAAATGTGCATCTATATGCAGGTGTAAAAATTATGGGGAGTGTAACCCTGCTACAGGAGAGTGTCAGTGTCCACCAGGGTGGAAGGGTGATGATTGCAGCATACGTAAGTTGTTTATCAGTTAAATTTATTTAAGAAGTTGAAAGGCTGTTTTGAAAAGAGTGCATTTATATGTTAATATTTCAATCTTAACTGCTACATTTTCTAATTTTTGGTGATTAGCTTTCAATCTCCTCCCCAATAGTTTTTCATAAATTTTTGTTAGCACATTTTGCAGTAAGTGCTACAGTTTTAGCAGCAAGTTCTACAGTATGTAGTTTTGAATGATGCAGATTTGTGTTTACATAACAAAAAATTACCCATTTGAGTTAATAGCTTCAGTTGTAGTTACATGGGCTCAATTTGCAAAGCTGTGCAGTTTGGTATTTTCATGTTTGCACACAGTACAACTGCAAGTGCAGCACTTTCAGAAAGCAATTAATAGTAAATGTTTGTGGGTTGTCAGTAAGTTCAATGTTAATTTATTAGCCAACTTGTTTATTAAAAATACTAATTATGTTTGCAAAGTATAAAAATGGCAGTACAAGTAGCAATGGAAGGGGGAAAAATACATGTATGGAGACAAAAATTTAAATGATCCAACCATTAGTCAGAAGTAAAGCATCTAAAAAGGATTATTAAAAAAAAAATCCACATTGCATAAAGTGCTTAAGTTATATTTCATAAAAATTTATGTGTTTTAATTTTGAAATGCCTCAATTTTTTTTTTTCAAACTGATATTGAAAAATGTAATATTTGAGAAATGCACACAGGGTTCGTAGCGGTCCTTATAAGTGCTTATAAGGCCTTATATTTGGAAATAAAATATAAAGGCCCTTATAGGTGCTTACTTTTTCTTTAAAGCCCTTATTTTTTTGTTTTAGTACTTATTTTTTTGCTTTACTGTTTTTTTTTTTTTTTTTTAAACAAACGTGCAATTTTACCCCGTACCAAAGCCGAAACTAAATAAACAACTTTTCTTCCTAATATGGAATGTCAGATGGTGAATCATACTCCCAGAAATAGCTTCTCCCCCTTTCTCTGCATGAACATAACCTTTGGTGTGTGCAGAGAGTATAGACAGGTGCCCGTCGTTCTGTTGGTCAAAGTAGAAAATTCTGGTACATTCGGCATTCTTTTCCTCCCACCCAAATACTACACATGTTTGAATTTCTATCAAGATATTAATAATTTGCATTATCGTTCCGCTTGGTCGGTTCACATTCATGTTTATTATGATCGTTATGCTTATATTATGAGCATATGTATGAATGTTTATAATAACATAGTTGCAGTAACTGAAGTATAGTAAACTTCTAAAAATGGTTGTGTTTTAACACAGGTTAGCTTTCTAAGGAATAATATTCGGAATGGCTTAAATAAAGAGGTTCTCCCCTTTCTCCGCAATATCTCAAATATTGGAACTGTTACAGTTCGCTGCAAAACAAGCAACGGACTCTTCTTCTTCTTCTTTTTTTTTTTTTTTTTGTCACTTTCCAATCTGGATTGAATAGGACTAAAAGTTCTGCGGTCTACCAACCCAAGCGAAGAATGATTCTATTCCGAAAATTTAACGCAGTCTGTTGAAAATTAGAATGAAAACCACCCCAGATTGGTAAGTCTCTTTCTTTTTCCTTTAGACGCTGAACACTGGTAGTTCGGTCCGAGGTTCGAATCCTGCGAACGGGCTGGCTGCATGGGCATTTTCGTGGTTTTCCCCATGAGGCAGATAGCCCTTGTATGCTTTGCCATAATTGAATAATCCAATCCAATCCTTTCTTTTCTTTTATTTAGTTCTTTATACTCCCAATACCGGCAGCTGTTGATTCCGATTGCGTAATATCATGTAGGGAAGAATTACGGCGCACGTATTGTGCAATAACGTTTGCGATATTTTGCAAAGATAATTAATTTTTGATGTTCGGTCTGAGATTTGTTTATGAACACTTAAAAGAGTTTTACTGTGCTTGCAAAGCAGAATATTTTTCTGTTCCGTTGGTTTGTTTTTATATGATACACATATTGAATTGTCAAATGGATTTATTTAACGGAAAAACCTAACGGCTACAGTCTATCCCCCCCTCCGCTCCTCTTTTTCAAGTTACGCTCGACTGTCCGAATATTCGCCAATTTTCAAGTATGCGTGTAGTTAAGCTTTTACTGTTAAAGGATGACTGTATGAAGCAAATATCTGTCTTCTGATTTCAAAAATGTTCCTCTTTTTTTACTTTAATTACTTTGCTTGCAATATCTATTAAGGGAAAACTGATATACGATGAAAATTTAGAAAATGTTCAGAATTTAGATTAGTTTAATATCAATGTGAGTGGAAAAATAAATTGTATTTATTATTAAGTTCCAAGCGAATAGAATAAATATGCCTTATTATTATTTATTTCCTCTATTTCGAACTGAAATTTCATCATTAAATCTTGTAATATAGTTTAGTTCTGGATAGTTTTTACTCTCTCATTGTAAACTAGTTCTGTAAATTGAACTATTATTCAAAATTTAAAAAAAAAAAAAGTAATTATTTTCCATGGTTGAGGTAATGCTTATTCTCTCTTAATAAATGCTGCATTTCTCATATTTTAAATTATGAGTCTAATTTCTAATGTTATGCAGTTGTGTATAATGTAATTAGACAGGTGCTTATTTTTTTTTCTTAAAATGTGCTTGAAAAGTGCTTATTATAGGTGCTTATTTTTTTAACTAAAATGTGGCTCTGAACCCTGGCACATTTTATAACAATCAAGAAAATAATCTTCATTCTTTCATGAGAAATGTAATTTTTTCTTGCTTAGCATAAATAATTTTTCAATTAACATTAAGATAGGAATTTATTGCACAGTTGCCAAGTCTTCCTGTTTTACAGGTAGACTCCGGGTTTTTTCTCGCATCTCCCAGTCTCTCGGAAAATCATTGAATCTTCCAATTTTTAATTTTTAACCTTTACTAAGGAAAGTGTCTTTCAGCAATAAATGAAGCTTGCATTAATAGAACTTATATTGTGCAAATTGCATTACTTTTCTCCTAGTAATTTTTGGCATAATTTTTCGAATTAGTTTTTTTTTTTTTTTTTTTTTTTTTTTTTTTTTTTTTTTTTTTTAAATCTGAAGTGTTTTATATACAGTAGACATTTAGAGAGCTTTATATGAAGATTTGACCAATGCTTAATTAATAAATATTTTAATTTAATTTCGTTTCATATCAGTATATGTTACATTACTAAGTTTATCCATGCAATGGTATACGTATTTTTAATTTAATTTTTCGTTATGTTTAACAACCCTTTGATGAATTAAAACTTTTCTTTCGTATTCAAGATATGCTCAGTATAAAAGTGTAAGAAAATTACAAAATGAAATTAGCCAAACAATGTTAAAGTTTAATATATCTAATTAAATATCAGTCTAGTTTAAGTCAGAATAATGTTATAAACAGTTGAATAACCTGAATCATGCATTATAAAGCAAGTTTAAGTCATTTTGGAATTCTTTTGAAATGGTAGCAATGCATAGTTAGCTGCAAAGACCTCTCAGAAATTCCCAGTTTCAAGGTTTTCCAGATATTTCAAGGTTGACAACTGTGAAATTGTATTAGTTGAGGATTTCTTAAAATAAATATATTTCTTTTAAAATGTTTTGCTTTTACTCTATAGCTTGTCCAAATGGAACATTTGGTCTTCTTTGTAAACAAAACTGTAGCTGTTTGAATGGTGGAATATGTCGTCGAAGTGATGGAGTCTGTCGTTGTCCACCTGGTTGGATGGGTGCTCGCTGCACTGAAGGTATCAATGCTTGCTTTCCCTTCGTTAGTCTTTTAACAAGATAATTGATATAAGATATACTTTACTCTTTTTTAGACACTTCACTAACATTTACATAATTTATTGAACATATCTTCTGCTATGGAAACTATAAATAAAGAGAACTAGTTCATTTAACATAACTTTCTATAATCATGTGTTCAAAAGTTGATTTTGAGTGAAATATGCTGATTTACCTTTATTTTAACAATAGTGTTATGGATTAGTAGAATTATAAATAAAATTGTTTTATTCCCCGTACAGTGCAGTGTGTGACGAATACTAAAAGGAAACTAGTCCCGGAAATTAAAAATACAATAATAAATTTTGTTCATTTTTCATCGGACTTGTACATTCAATTCATAATGTACCCATATGCACGCAATGATTTTAGGTGTCAGAAGTGGGATTTGTATGCCAATCACAAGAGCGATGGAAGAGCAGTTAAGACAGCTGATACCAGCCTTTGCTGCATTTAAAGAGGAAATGAAAGTGGGCCAGCAAGAGACGAAAGTGGAACAGGAATCCATTCACGAAAAGTTGGAAGCTGGTCAAGTAACTTTTAAAGAAAACATAAAAGCTGTACAAGAAAAGATTGAAGCAGGTCAAGACGAAATGAAAAGAGAAACTGCCTGCATATTAAAAACCAAATTCAAAGCGATGGAAGACAGACACAATTTTCAATAGTGGCGGAAGCAAATGGACGTGATTCCCAAGCTAAGGCCTATCATCTTTCCGCTTCTCTGAGAGCAGACGTAGAGGATCGTGCAAACTCTTGCCAAAAACCAGAGATTAGACTTTGAAGCTCTAATTGGGGCATTGGAGCTGCACTTCAGCGAGAAGTGTTTAAAAGACTACACCAGGCTTCAATTAAAATCCCATCAACAGAAGCCCATAGAAACACTTCAGGAGCTCACCACGGATGTTGAAAGGCTGTCCCATCTCTCCTTTTCAAAGTGCCCGACAGAAACAAGGGAAATCCTGCCCCTGCAATATCTCATTGATGGCATCCGGGATCCTGAAATACAGAAAGCTCTGCGAATGGCGGATGTGAAGGACATATAAAGCGCTCTGTTGTACGCCGTGAAGTTCGAGCCAGCCCAGCAAGCAACTCGTAGAGATCGCTACCCAGTCAGAGCTGTGCGAGTCCACGAGCCAGTGGATCAATTGATGGCTCGTTTAGATGATTTAACAAGACAAGTCAATGCTTTGATATGGGAAAGGAAGGAGAAGAAATGGGCTGTAAAGTGTTGGAACTGTGGTACTGAAGGTCTCCTAAGATGGAATTGCAGAACACCCCAGGGTACGGTATATAAAGCAGATGATTTTACCAGACAAGTCAGTGGCTTGAGACGGAACAGAAGTGAAAAGAAACTAGTTCTAAAGTGCTGGAACTGTGGAGTTGAAGGCCACATACGAAGAAACTGCAAAACACCCCGAGGTACGGAAAATAAGACCATTTCCCAGCAACGACGCAGTAAACAAATTAGTGACCATATCGAGGAACGGGGGTTGCCAGATAATGAAAAACCTTGTTTTAAAGCGCTTAAAATTTATACAGTGAGTGGTTTTATACATGAGTTTTATACATGAGTAATAAATTTATACATGAGTCCAGGGTACGGAAAATAAAACAGATGATTTTACAAGTCAGTGGCGTGAGACAAAAAAGGAGTGACAAGAAACCAAAGTGCTGGAACTTTGGAGCTGAAGCCCACATATGAAGGAATTGCAGAATATCACAGGTTACAGAAAATAAGATCATTTCCCAGCTACAATACAGGAAACAAATTAATGACCATATCGAGAAGTGGAGGTTGCCAGATAATGAAAAACCCTGTTTTAAAGTGTTTACGATTTCTACAGTGAATGGTAGCGTAATGGACTGTCCATCAATGGGAATATCGATGGAGTTTCTTGCAATATGATCATTGACACAGGAGCTAATGTTACCATCATTCGTAAAGATTTAGCTCAACGATTTAAGGATAAGCTCATTTGGATGCCATCCTGTGTCACACTTCAGACTGCGTCTGGTGATAAGATCGACGTAGCTGGGAAGTTAAACGTGAACATCACATTTGAAAAGGCCGCCTACCATTACACCGCATATGTGGCGGATATTACAGATCCATGCATACTCGGATTGGACTTTTTAAGGAAATACAATTTTTCCGTCGACGTCAAAAACAACAAATTGCTTTCAGCATCTGAGGACATGACTATCCCTCCTCAAAAGGGATCCTCACCTGGAAACACCGATGTCTCATGTGAAAGACCCTACTCAGAATGCTGCCAAAATCCTAGGGTCGAAGAGAAACCCCAGACTACTGGCTATCCTCCATCCCAGATGCTCTTCATTTGAAACCTTCATCTGCCTTGTGACTACCTGTTTGGTCGCCCTAGGGATGTGCCTTCATCGCCTGAGGAATACATCCAAGATGTCCAGGCCTGGTTTGAAGTGATGCACCGTTCTGCACGAAAGCGAATCAGCTTGGCAATGGAGAAAGGGAAGACCAGATACAACACAAAAGCTACTGGACATAGATTCAACGAAAGAGACAAGGTGAGGTAGTAGAACCCAATTCGACAAAAAGGACTCAGTCCTAAATTACAGTCACCTTGTACAGTCCTAAAGAGACTGAATGACACTGTGGTTCAGATCCGTAAGTCATCAAACTCTAAACCTAAAGTCACTCATTACGACAGGTTAGCTCATTACTATGGCCATAGTACTTAGTATAATTGTAAATACTGTAAGACCATGATAATTTTTGTTTCTAAATGTGTATTTGATTTGTATTTAGAATTTGATAGTAATTGGATTTGTTTTAGTTATTATATTTATTGTTCATGTTGTTTGTTATTGTAATGTAATGTTTATTATTGCATTTATGCTTTAGTTGTAAGTTTTGGCTTGCTTGCTGTCCAGGGATTGTACTGCCCGGGACATGCAGTCCTTGGGAAGGGGGCAGTTTATGGATTTGGTATTTAAACAGTTAATGTTAGTAGAATTATAAATAAAATTGTATTCCCTGTGCAGTGCAGCGCGTGACGAATATTAAAGGAAAGCTAAGCTAGAAAATTAAAAATACAAGAGCAAGTGCATTTAACATTTAATAAATAAATATATCTTTTTGATTTCGAGAAATTGCTAGAACAATCTCGTGCGGAAATTTAAAAGCTTATAAAAAGGAGTTCTGTCAATTCAGTTCAGTTCTTGATTTAAGAGTTTTCTTAGAAAACTGCTCTTGTTGACTGTAGCGAATTGGCGGATTAGCTTTCTCTAGCTGTTTTGAATTAAGTTCTGTTGAACATTTGAGTAATTAAAAGATAACTACTGTGAGATATTGTAATACTGCACGAATATCTCAGGAAATGTAAGCATTTTGTTTTATTTGTGGTGATAATAGTAAATTTTGTTAATTTTTCATCGAACTTGTACATTCAATTCATAATGTACCCATACGCACACAACAGTATATTGAATTCTGGTATAGTTATTTGAGTTTAAATGTTTCATTCATAAGAATGATAACAAATAATATTCTAAACACAGAATTGATAAAAGTTTTCAAAAAGTAATATTGTTTGTGGCAGTAATCTAAAGTAGTATAATTTTAAAGTATTTAATAAATCTGCTGCATTGCTTACCTTGAACACATGCTATTTGAGCCATTATTTCTGCCTATTGTTATTTTGGTTGCATTGTGACTGCATGGTTACTTTAGTTGATCTGAATGTATTTGAAACAGCACAGAATGGTACTGAGTGTAAAATTATTGTTAATTTTGCATGCTGAAAAGTAATATGTGCTGTGAGCATTGTCCCAGAAAGAATTCTGAGGGGAGAGAAAAGCTTGTGATGTGTACCTCTTGATAATTGATCTGATGGAGCTCTTGCTCACATGAATGAAATGCTACATGACCATCTGATGACACTGTGAGGTTAAAATTAGTTAACAGAAAGAGAAGCAGTGTGAGGAGAGGGATTATCCTATTGGTCAGTCCTTTGTATTTCTCCAGATGTTCTTTAAGCATTTTTTGATATTCTTTGAATTCTTATTCTAATTTATAAGTTTACTTAATATTTACTTAATAATCATTACTGAGTATTCACCAAACTGAAATTTTTATCACATCTTCTAATCTGTTAATAATAATAAGCCAATTGTTTCTCAAATATAGGTTAGATTTCATCTCATTATTAAGTAGTTTTTTTCTTCTTTTTTTGGGGGGAGGGGCCATCAGCGGCTGAGTGGTAAAGTCACTGAACTCTGGTAGTTCAGTCTGAAGTTTGAATCCCGTGAATGGGCTAGCTGCATGGGAGATTTCGTGGTTTTCCCCATGTGTAACGTGTATACAAGCCAGTTTTCCCTTAGCAAGTCCTCCATGAAGGCATCCCTCCCTTAGGCAGATAGCCCTCGAGGCTTTGCCATAATCACACACACATACGCACATGTTGTTCTTTTTTTCTGTTTAATAACAGGCCTTCTGCATGTGAAAAGTCTATGTGTGTTAGTAAGAACTGTCTTTGTGCAATTTTGATGTACTAATGTATTTCTGTCTGGTAGAGATACCAGGCAATTATTTTATTTTGAAAAAAATTAAACTGTAACTTTTGGTCTGTCAGCTAATTCACCAATTTTTTTTATTAACCAATCATCTTAAAGTACAAATGTTCACTTCAATCTTTTTGCATGTATGTAATTTTTTACACAGTTGTCTTCAGTTTAATAAATGAAGCTGAAATAAAAGCATGAAAGTCCAGTGTGTAAAGTCCCTGATTAATTTTTACTCTATTTGAACTGTTTATATCAGATTTAAGATATTTAAGAGTTTTTCATCTTAAGTAGATTTTTATCAGCGTAAAGTTTTTGGAAAATTGCAAAGTGAAACCAGCAAAAACACAATTGAATAGTTAGTTTTTTATTTTAAATTTTAATGTAATGCATTTTACTTTAAAGTCATGTAATTATTTTAATAATCTGAATTAAGCATTAGAAACTTACTTTAATTTGCTAATTTTGAACCTCATAGTTCAGAGTTATCAGCTATTATGTATGTGTTTCAAGATTTTCACAGAAATTTATTAGTGCTCAGAATAATGCAAAATGTTCTTTAGGTACTTGTTGCTATGTGTTTGTCAGCTGCTGATAGTTTTCTGTAACTTGTTAATATAATTATTTTATGTGTTTCAGTTTTCTGTGTCTTGTTAATATAATTATTTTATGTGTTTCAGTTTGTCCTGAAGGTTATTATGGTGATCATTGTATGCAGCAGTGTCAGTGTAAGGAAAATTATGTCTGCAGCCCTCTGTCAGGATGTGTATGTAAATATGGATATGGAGGAGAAAATTGTGAACAACGTTAGTATTTTTTTAGTGTTGCTTATGTTATTTTTTCATTTTTCTCTTAGTAAATATTAATTTTTCCCTGCATTGATTTAATAATTTTCAAAATATGTGAATATATTTTTTTATATTTTATAAAATATTTTAACGAGAAAATTATAATATTCATTGTATTAATATAATTAGGTTTAATGGGACAAAGTGTTCAGAAGATGGAAGATGATTCATCAACAAGTGCTGGTGTGGTAGGAGGAGTGATTTTAGCCATAATCTTGTTAGTTGTAATTGTTCTCCTTATTATATATTACAGGAGACGTTTAAAGAGGCTTAAAGATGAATTAGCATATGTGACGTAAGTAAATTAAAAAATGTTCTGATAATTCTCTCCAAATTGTTATAATATTCAATAAGTGTTATAAATTCTTTTTGTAGCTATGCTGCAGATCCTAATCCATCTCCAGGTGAGTTCCTTTCTGATATGAATTTTTAGTCATCCACTCATCATACTGAATATATTTTTAATATAGCCGAATATTCTGCTAAAAATTAACCTAACAATATGTGCACTTTATATTTTAGATCGCAGACATTTTGACAATCCAGTATATGCTTATCAAGGTGTTCCAGCAGGAGCATGCAGTGCATCATTAAATAATACTGGTACTAAACATATATATAATGATTTAAGAATGAAAAACAATGTTGAAAAAGCTAAACTGGGAGATGAAGATTCAGAAACTTATGTTGAAAAAGGTATGTTTTTCTCCCCCAAAAAAGGGAGGGGGGACTTTTTCAAACTAATTGAGTTTATTTTCATATGGCTTCATTTATAAGTTTGTAAACATTCACTGACAACTAATATATAAAATGAAAATGGTGCAGTTTTTTCCTTGCATATTTTTTGTGTGACTTCTGTTGCACTGTATTATTGCAAAAGAATAACAGAAGTCTTGCCATGTTCTTCACAACATAACTTTTATTGCCTTCTTCATGGTAATAATGCAGTTTTTTTTTTTTTTTATTTTATTCTTGTTAGCTTGTGAATACACTTGATAAGAACACAGCAGTCTTAACATATTCCCGAAAAATAAACTCGCATGGCATAACATTCTATGTATGACCTTAGAAGTCTAACTCTGAAACACTAAGTTATCTTGCTGTTAAAAGTAATATGCAGCAATTCTAAAGATATTCTGCTTTTTCATACTGAACCTTTCCATGGAATTATCACCACTACTTGCTGTAATATTTAATAATTTGTAAATGGTAACATTTAATATTTAGTAACTTGTAATTGGCAACACTTTGGAGAGGGATTGAGAAATAGAACTATGCTGGTATTGCAGTGCTCTGTGATTATACATTCTAAGATTGTAAATAAATAGTTTCTAAAAGCTAAAAGTGTACCCTCATAATTTTATATGGTGTCAGAAGTGTTTTGCTTTCAAAATGGAAAGTTTAAAACCACCAGAGCCGATGAAATTTGATGGAAATCTGGCTTCGAATTGGCAGAGATGGCTGCAATCATTTGAAATATATGAAGTAGCTAGTGGATTACATAATAATAAAGAAGAGAAGGTAAGAGTTAATACTTTTCTTCATGTAATAGGAATTCGTGGTCTTGAAATATATAATACATTTCCTATAGAAGAGGGTAAAGAAATTAAATTATGTGAAATTAAAACAAAATTTACAGAATATTGTATTCCTAAGAAAAATATTACATATGAAAGACATTTATTCTTTACTAGAAATCAAACCGCGTCAGAAACCATAGATGAATACGTAACTGATCTTCGAAATAAAGCTAGAACATGCGAGTTTGCACAATTAACGGATAGTTTAATAAAGGATAAAATTGTTTGTGGTATTAAAGATGATATAGTGAGAGCAAGATTGTTACATGAAACAGAATTAACATTAGAAAAAGCTCTTGATATATGCAGATCTGCTGAAATAAGTGCACATCAAATGAAAATCATAAAGAATGAGGAAACTGCTGTAAACTTAGTGAAAAAGAAACTAAGTAAATATAATAAGAATACCTACAAAGAGGTAAATACCAATAAACAAAAGACAAAAGTTTGTTCTAAATGTGGAACATCTCATGAGTATCGAATGTGTCCAGCATATGGAAAAATCTGTCATAAATGTAAAAAGGCAAATCATTTCGCGAGTCAGTGTGTAAAGCTATATAATAAAAAATGAAGCAGTCAAAGTAAACAAAAAAGATAGACAAATTAAATTAATAAATCATGACTCTGAGGAAAGAGTTAGAATTTTATGTTGGCACATTAAACATTAATTCAGATAACAAGGAAGGAAGAGAAATGGACTGTTGACGTTAATGTAAATAAAAGTAAACTAAATTTGCAGTTAGATACTGGAGCAATGTGCAATGTTATTTCTAAAAGCAAACTGAAATTGCTAAATGTTTTCCGATACAGAAGTCTGAAATTAAAAGAATAGTTACATTCTCTGGGAATAAAATGGATACTTTAGGAAAAGTAGTACTTAACTGCCAATATGGAAAAAATAATTATGTTGTGGAATTCCAAGTTATTGACAAAGAAGTACCTTCTATATTAGGATTAAAATCATGTTTGCAACTAGGTTTGATTCAGAAAGTAATGTCTGTTTACACTGAAGACTTACTGGAGGAATACAAAGATGTATTTGAAGGCTTAGGTTGTTTGAATGGAGAATATAAATCCAGTTAAAAACAAGATGTAACGCCAGTCATTCATCCTCCAAGAAAAATACCCATAGCTATACGTGATAAAGTTAAGAAAGAATTACAAAGAATGGAAAATTTAAATGTTATTGAGAAAGTAAAAGAACCAACTGAATGGGTAAATTCAATGGTTACAGTTGTCAAACCGAACAAAATAAGAATATGTTTAGATCCTAGAGATTTAAATAAAGCTATAAAACGAGAACATTATCCGATGTTAACCATTGACGAAGTTGTCACTAGAATGCCTAACGCAAAAATATTTTCTGGTTTAGATGCTAATAGTGCTTTTTGGCAAATCCAGCTTGACGAAGAAAGTAGTAATTTGTGTACATTCAATACACCTTTTGGCAGATACAAATTTAAAAGATTACCTTTTGGCATATGTTCAGCTCCAGAAATTTGCCAAAGAAAATTAAGCCAAATAATAGAAGGTCTAGATGGTGTTGAATGTATTATAGATGATATCTTAATATGGGGATCTAATGAAAAGGAACATGAGCTACGACTTAAAAAAGTACTCCAGAGAGCACGAGAAAATAATTTGAAGTTCAATAAGGCTAAATGTAAAATAAAAGTTAATCGTGTGAATTATATAGGACACGAGTTAAGTGAAAATGGACTAAAACCTGATTTTTTCTAAAGTGGAAGCAATTGTTAAAATGCCAGAACCTACAGATGTGCCTTCGCTACAAAGATTTTTGGGAATGATTAATTATTTTTAGCCAAATTTTATTCCTAACTTACTTAACTACTATTACTGCACCATTAAGACAGTTACTTGAGAAAAATGTCCTCTGGCACTGGACTGAAAAGCATCAAAAAGCTTTCGAAACACTTAAAGAAACTGATTGCAAAAGCACCCGTATTAAAATTCTATGATGTTAATAAGGATGTAACTCTTTCAGTAGATGCAAGTTCTGAAGGATTAGGCGCTGTTTTACTACAAGAAAACCAACCAATTGCTTATGCTTCCAGAGCTCTAACAAAAAATCAAAAAAATTATGCTCAGATAGAAAAAGAGCTTTTAGCTATTACTTTTGGATGTTCTAAATTTCATCAATATATATATGGCAAACGTATTACAGTTGAAACTGATCATCGACCATTAGAAAGCATAACTAAGAAACCTCTTTTTAAAGCACCACAGCGATTGCAAAGAATGCTGTTAAATTTACAGAAATATGATCTAGATGTACGATACAAAAAGGGGAAACACTTATTAATAGCAGACACTTTGAGTAGAGCATATTTGAATACAACAGAAGAAGATAATGATGAAGATACAGAAATTTGTACACTGATTCCAGCATCTGATGACAAAATTTATGAATTAAAGAAAGAAAGTGAATGTGATGCTACACTACAGTGCTTAAAGAAATATATTCTGAGAGGCTGGCCAGAAAGGAAACATCAGGTAGAACCTCAAGTCAAAGTATTTTGGGACTACAGAGATGAGTTGACAATGGAAAATGGTAAATTTATTTTTCAAAGGAGGAAGGGTAATTATTATCCTTTATCTATGCAAAAGGAAATGTTAAATTTAATTCATGAGGGTCATTTTGGTATAGAAAAATGTAAGAAAAGAGCTAGAGATGTTTTGTTTTGGCCACATTTATGAACAAGCAGATAGAAGATAAAATTTCAAAATGTTCTATATGTAATGAATACCAGAACAAAACACATAAGAGAGCCTATGATACCACATGAAATTCCCAATTTACCTTGGTATAAAGTTGCGACAGATTTATTTGAGATTAACAAAGATGTATATTTATTAATTGTAGATTACTATTCCAACTTTTTTGAAATCTGCAAACTACCGGATACTCGAAGTCAGACAGTGATCAGTTACATGAAATCTCATTTTGCAAGATACGGTATACCATTGATAGTGATATCTGATAATGGACCTCAGTTTGCAAGTAAAGAATTTTCAGAATTTGAAAAGAAATACCAATTTAAACATATAACAAGCAGCCCATACCATCCACAGTCGAACGGATTAGCAGAGCGTTCAGTACAAACGGCGAAGAAATTGTTAAAGAAAGCTCAAGCAGATCATGCTGATCCTTATTTAGCATTGTTAGCTCATAGGAACACTCCAACTAATGAGATGCTAGGATCACCAGCTCAACGACTTATGAGTAGAAGAACAAGAACGATTCTTCCTACATCTGAAGAATTACTTAAACCTCAAGTTGTGAGAAATGTAAAAGAAAAAAATCAACCAAGAAAGAACTAAACAGAAGTCATATTATGATCGTCATACAAAAACATTACCATTGCTAAATAAAGGAGATTGTGTTCGGGTATATCAAGATAATCGCTGGAAACCAGCAGTTGTAGAAGAAGTGCATAAGACGCCTAGATCATATATACTTAGATCAGGTGGATCAGTATTGAGAAGAAATAGAAAAGATATTAGAGGAAACAGTTTAGCTGTTGATGAGAATATCAGAGGAACAGAACAAGGAGTTAATACACAGAAAACAGATGTAAAAGGATATGATTCCAGATATTCTCAAGGGCAAAGTTTAGAAGATCAACTACCAAACTCTGCTAACTCAGAAACAAAAGGAACGGTGAGCTAAGAACTAGAAGTGGGAGACTGATTAGAAAGCCGGCCAGGTATTTGGACTGATTTTAGACTGTTAAAACTTTTGAACTTTTTAAAAAAACGGAAGATGTAATATTTAATAATTTGTAAATGGTAACATTTAATATTTAGTAACTTGTAATTGGCAACACTTTGGAGAGGGATTGAGAAATAGAACTATGCTGGTATTGCAGTGCTCTGTGATTATACATTCTAAGATTGTAAATAAATAGTTTCTAAAAGCTAAAAGTGTACCCTCATAATTTTATACTTGCCTATGTTCTTAGAATAATCTGTGAAATTGTTATAAAACAGGATCAGCGGCAATGGAATTTTTGAATTCTTTTGATAACATTTTAAGTCTCCAAAATTGTTTTTTGTTTGATCAGTTAAATAACAATTGATACAGAGTTATGCATTAAAAAAGCTCAGTGAGTCATTTAGAAAGTATAGACTTTTTTTTAATTATTATTAATTCAACTGTATTGTTAGAAGGGGGAGGGAAAAGTTTAGCTCCATGTCTACAACCTATATAGGCTTTACTAATAGACGTAAGCCCACCAGCGGCCGAGCGGAAAAGTCGCTGAACACTGGTAGTTCGGTTTGAGATTCGAATCCCACAAACGGGCTGGTTGCATGGGCGTTTTCGTGGTTTTCCCTATGTGTAACGTGTATACGAGCCAGTTTCCCTCAGAAAGTCCTCCACGAAAGCATCCTCCCCTTAGGCAGATAGCCCTCGAGGCTTTCACACACACTAATAGATGTAAATGGGGGGAAAATTTTTAAGAATTAGGATAAAATTGTTTCGTTTTACTTCTTGGGGACTTCCCTTTGATAATAAATCTGGATTTAGAAGAGGATGTAATAAAAACTGCAGAAATAACACTTATTTAATTAAAATGTTTTGAAGGTTCTCTTCCTATGAGATGATCTACAAGAACTGAGAGCTAAAGAGCTAGAAAATAAAAGTGAAATTAAAAAAAAAAAAAAAAAAAAAAGTTTTAAATTATACAGAAATATATGTTATGACTACTATTTATCTAAGTGATCTTTCAGTCCACTCATTTTTTTATAGGTAACATGCTTCAAAAATCTATTTAATTGAATTAATGCCTTTACTGTGTGTGAGACTGTTCTTGTTAAATCTCTGTTAAAGGTAAAAAATTAACTGAAATTCATCACAGATTACATAATGTCAGTGAAGAACATACTTGAAGGTAGAAGTAATGGGTCAAATAATATAAAAATTTTCAAAAGATTAATGACAAATAGCTATAAAGAAAACTGGCCAGAATTTGAGCAAATTGCACTTGCCACTAATATTTCTTACCCCAATCATCAAACACATTTGTTTTTCTGTCACCATGTCATTCGTATTTCTATAGATCTAATATGCCACCTACATTTTGGCCTTTAACTTTGATATAATAAAAATTCAGATTTTACATTATGTCCAAAGGGGCTTTTTTTTAAACATTTTCTGTATTACCTTTATTTATCATGTTCTTCGCACTTAAACCATAAAATTCAACTCAACAGCAATAATTTTAAAATGAGCACATCTTTAGAATTTCTAATACACAGTCTCATGCACTGGAGGTAAAGTTTTTTTCCCCATACAGTGTCGCCATTGCTCGCTTTGAAATCGAGTTTCTTATTAAAAAATTCGTTAAAGTGTTACAAAATATGAAATCGATTATAAAACAAATTCCAAATTTGGGTTTACAGATTATATTTGGAGGATGATTATGTTATTCAAAATTTGATGGCTCTAGCTACTGTTGTTTTATCACAATGTGAGAAACATTCATATATTTATGCAGGTTATATTTAAAGAAATTCAAATTCATTATTTAATTTCTTTAAATATAACAGAGCTGTAATATTTGGTGGCAACAGTTTGAAAAGTGAATTGACGCAAAGTGCCAAAATGAAATTAATAGCCCTTCTGAGCTAGCACTCCTTTGGGCTAAAAACTAATCGTACCCATGGTGGAGCATCAATTCAGTTAGGTATCTTTACATGCGCAGTAATCTTACCTGTGTTGGGAGCATCAACTCAGTTTGGTATCTTTACCATTAATGTAATTTGGTATCTTTACCATTAATGTAAAAGTCTGTTAATGGCTGAGCAGTAAAGTTACTGAATATTAATAGTTTCACTTGGGTTTGAAACTAGGCAAGCAACCTGGCTGCATAGGCATTTTCGTGGTTTTTGCATGTGCAATGTGAATATGAGGCAGTTTTCCTTAAAACGTCATACATGAATGCATCTCCTCACTTAGGTAGAAATCAAACAAATAGCACTCATAGAATTTAGGGTTGAAGAAAGACAAACCATGACCAATGTCATTAAATGTGTATTAGACTTCTGCATATGTTAAATTTTTTCATTGTATTTCCATTTGTGTTTTCAGACTTAAAGATTTAATTAAAAAATGGCTCTCACAATTTTATATTTTAAGAAATAAATTTTGCAAGTAAGTAAAATTTGCTATTCTATCTAATTTGGGCAAAATTCAGCTGTAGATTGACATTGTTTTTTATCAAAAAAATTGTGCATTTAAAAATTTGTGAATTTTTTCCATAAATTTATGAATCTGAAGTTATTTTAATTATATTTCACATGCTCCCACTGTACAAGTAGAAATTTTAGGTAATTTCTTTTGAAGATTGCCTGTCCAAATATGCTGTTTTTTGAGGATAGGGGGAATAAAAGTGTTCTTACTCATTTGAAGATTTAGAAAATTGTTACCCACCGAAATTTTAACCTGTGAAGTTTTTACAATAAATAAGAGAGTTTTTAGTTTTACTTTAAGCTTCTGGTATTATTTTTAAAAGATCTGTACATTTCAAGTAATAAGTTATATTTTATTTTTAGGTGCATGTGGAGGATATGGTGAAGAAGTGGGCCTGAAATCCAAAATAGATTTAGAGTTCAGTCGTAATATTTATCATAGTATTGAAGATTTAAAGCCAAATTTATCAAAAAAAGAACCATTTTATGATGAAGTGAAAGATAAGAACTGTGATGGTATTATGGATTTTCATTTTGTGTTTTCATATGGAAATTTTTTATTTTGTGAATATGTCTTATATCTGTTTAAAACTGCTCACTTTCTCTCTGTATATCTGATGACACTTTGGATTTTACCCAGACGCCATACCTCTTACATTCTACAAATATAATTACAGTACGAAGACCGAGATCCCGACGTCCTATATCCTGAATGATCTAAAATCCGGAACTCAAAGCCACGAACAATTCTTTTTGTGTGTGTGCTTTATGCCTGCACATTTGATTCTCCCGCGTAATAAATCATATGGAGAGTCCGATTCCTAATTTTACTTCGGCACTAAATAAAATACCCTATTATTTCTTTTTACCATAAATATGTTTGAACAGTAATTTGGCTACATAGCCGAGTATCTGCTTGGTGTCAAACTGAAACATTATACATAGAAACATAGTTGATTTTACACCTAGTAATATTTTATGTCACTGATGCCAAGCTGGGGACTCATTATTTATTATATTTTGCTTTCATCACTGCATGTTTATCAACACATGACAATGAGTAATGACTCATGCAGCAATGTCTAAACCAGCGGTCTTCAACCCTTAGAACTTTACGGACCACTACATATATAATTTTATATTTGATGAACCACTAATATGGACTAAAAAAAAACTTGACATATTAATACACAAAAGCAATATTCAATTTACTAATACATGTAATTCTAATTTTCATTTGTTAATATAATTATCGAAACATTTGGTGTTCAGCAGCATGAATTTGTGGAAATTCAGGCTATGCCCCTGATTATGAGTAAAAATTAAAACACTCTTAACATCTCACTGATACACATATTTCTTTCATATTGAAAAATTATATGAAAGTACAAAAATCTTACCTTCTTGTACAAAAAGCTTCACATTTCCATATCACTGAAAAGCAAGAACAAACCGGCAAATGCAAAGCAATATCAATAAACTGAAAGTGTTATGCCATCAATTTTTAATTATTGTAAACATAATAATTATCCCTTACTCAGCAGGCCCACCAGCAGCGGCCAAGCGCTAAAGACGCTGAACACTGGTAGTTCGGTCCCGCGTATCACCAGTAATACACACACCACTGGTTGAGAACCACTGGTCTAAAGCATAAGCCCTTGTTTGCATGAAAGTATATGATAAATTATTTTTCTACCTGTTTATAATGTAATAAACAAATGAATATCAAAATTTAATGCATTTGTAATAATGTAATTCATTTTTATTATGGTTATTTAGTCAAAGTTTTGTTACCCATAAAACTTAGTGCTGGCATTCGTTATGGCTATCTAAGCTTCCTTTTCAGTAGTAATTTTCTGCTATCTGGTGCTACAAAGATATCTTCTTTCACTTTGTTTCTGATATCGAAGATACATTTTGACAGAGGCATTTAAAAATAGTATCCATATTTTGTATATATCTTTACAAGCTATTTTATGCAAAGTAAGTGAAGAGTTTTTGTGGTGGGATATGGTATAAGTTCCAGATATTGACCTTTTACTTGCCTACTCAGATCTGCTATTGCTACTTAATATACCGGGTGGCCATAATTAAACTGACAGTGCTCACAGTGTTCTGTAGCGCGATCTATTTGCGAGAATGACGCCACATTTTGTAGGAAAATTAAACAATACGGGAATGAAGGATTCCGCGAAAAAACAAATTAGTTCCAAAAGTCACCACTAGGGGAATATTTGGCGCTGTGTAATATAAAATAGAGTGTTAACAAATGCAAATTAATACAGAATAAAATTACCTTTTATTATGCACATTTTCTGATTTAGTTCAAGTGCAATATGGCAACACTTTCAAAAAAGCGTAAAATCTACATAAACACCGATAAAGTCTCGTGATCTGCAATATCACGTACACTGAGCAGAAGAAGAAGTTCTTTATTCAAATTTCACGTTGCATCCATTCGCACAGTGCCAGCTGCTTGGGTTTTAAAAGGCAATGTGTTATGTTTTGAATCAATCGGATTGAAAGTTTATGTTCAATGTTTCCTTCTTTAGTACTGGTCAAATTCTTTTACCTCAACCAGTGCAATGCATCAGCCACTCTTCGTGCTTTTAGAACGCACAAAAAAGTGCGTAAAGGTAACGGTCCTGTGTCAGTTAATGGGTTAAAAGCAATGGTTGCGACATTTGAGAAAACAGGGTCTCTGAAGGTTCAGTCAGGCAGAGGACGAAAACCTGTACCACAGGATACAATTGAAGCAGTTGCCACAACGATTGTCGACAGAGGACCAGACAATATTGCTGCCACCTCTAGCGCTCATGGAGTAGCTCAGAATATGGATATGCCTTACGGTACGGTATGAGAAATCTTACGAAAGATTATCAACTTCTATCCATACAAGATCAGCCGTGTACAGGAGTTACTGTATCTCGACCGTGATAAGCGATTGACTTTTGCTCTCACCTTTCTTGCCAGAATGGAGGTGGATGATGCTTGGCCGTGGAAAATCTTATGGGGAGACGAGGCCCACTTTTACCTGAATGGAACTGTGAATACCCAGAACGGCCGAATTTGGGATGACAAACCACCACATGCAGTCACAGCAATTCCCTTACATTCACCAAAGGTAACTGTTTGGTGTGGGTTCACAGCAGAATTTATCGCAGGTCCATTCTTCTTTGAGAACATTACCCCGACAGGACCGGAAACCTGTTCTGTTTACCGGAGAGAAATATCGCCACATGTTGAACAGCTTTGTCATTCCGGCACTTTAGCAAAGACAGTGCCTGGGGGAAATCATTTTCATGCAAGATAGAGCCCCTCCACACGTAGCTGTACGGGTGCAACAGATGTTACGACAGAAATTCACAACAGAAAGTGTCATTAGCCGCTACTTTCCAACTGCATGGCTACCTCGGTCGCCTGATCTTACCCCATGCGACTTTTGGCTATGGGGTTACCTTAAGTCCAAGGTCTATCAAGGAGTGGTCCAGGACCTGGCTACGTTGAAGGATAACATATCACAGACTGTACGGGAGATTCCTGCAGACATGTTACTTTCTGCTGTTGTGCATACTGTGCACCACAGAATGCAATATGTGGTCCACAACAACAGCAGCCACATTGAATGCAAAATAAAAGGTAATTCCTGTATTGATTTGCATTTGTTAACACTCTATTTTCTATTACACAGCGGCAAATATTCTCCTAGCGGTGACTTTTGGAACTAATTTGTTTTTTCGTGGAATCCTTCGTCCCCCATCTTGTTTAATCTTATGTTAAACAAAATGTGGCGTCATTCTCGCAAACAGATCGCGCTACAGAACACTGTGAGCACTATCAGTTTAATTATGGCCACCCGTTATATATATATATATATATGACAGGTATTAGTCATTTTAGGCTTTTATCGCTACTAAGGCTAGAGCTGGTGGTCATTTTATTATGGAGGCACTTAAAAAGCTGCTTTCGTTACCTCCTATGAAGGAATACACAGTTAACATCTTAGCTATCTCCGAGATTCGAACCCAGGCTCTTCGGTGATGCAGTCAGTGCCACTAACCATTTTCCCATCTGAGCAACAAACTACCTAATATAAGAACTTGGTTATAATCACCATGCAGACAAAGAAGGAACAATATGTTGATTTCCGTAAATGAAACCTTTTATGAACACTCATAAACGGTTAACAAATAAACATAAACAATAAGTAACGTAATGCATGAGATCTGATTTCAAATTTTCTTGAATATGTGAATAATAAACAAACAGTCTACAGTTCAGAAGCAATTCATTTCCGTAATGTAAAAGAACTAGTTTAAGTTTTCTTTTAGAGGAAGCAATACAAAATGCTTAAATTTCATATTTTTTTTAAATAAAATTAGAAATTATTTCTTATTTATTGTTTTTTCAAGAAAATAAAAGTTAAAATTAAGCATCGTATTAATATTTTTTAATTCAATGTCCAAAATGACATTAAAAACAGCTAAAAAGAAAATGTTTTAATCACATACTTTATTGTTACAATACTACAAACTAGAGTTTCCAAGCTAAAAGCAACTGATTTGCCGTTTTGGAGGATTTTTCTGGGAATGTGAACAAACGAAGCATCGTCGTCTCATTTTCTTATCAGTCTCTTCTGAACAAAGTTTTGGAAAATGTCTTTCAATTAATCTTTCAGAATCAATATCAGAATTTCAGAATCAATGTCTGAAATATTTTGCATCATTTCTGCTATTTCATGCTCTGTTAAACATTTTCGACGCTTCGACATTGCAACGGTAAAAACAGAAAGAATTCACATCTAACAAGATCTAATTATTTTCTAAAAACTGAATTGCAAACCGAAATACCCAATGCTTTAGCAAAAATAAAACTTCTCTACTTACAATAAACAATTACCACGTGCGAATTTAAAGAGACGTCATAAATCACGCCATTCGGAAACATTTATTTCCCTGTTTGTTTATATAATCAAAAAACACATGGTTCTCTCATTTCGAGTAGAAGGTCTAATGTACATGTATCTGAAACCATATGGACATACAGTGCCATCTTGTGGCAGAAATTATAGTTTTTAAAACGTTCCAGGACACTGGCACAAATATGTGACAGTCGGGCTGAACGGGAAAATGCTCTGGCATGCCTGCGTGTCAGCCGGGAAGTGAGTGTGTTTGTTGTTGGCACATAGACGTGACAGTCGGCATGAAGTGGTTAAAAAATTCTTTTTAATACCTGAGTAGTTAAAATTATGAAACACAAGTATTTTGCCTTCCTAGTGCTTCAATGAATGCCTGCGTGATGTTTTTATGCTATGCAACATAAATATGGACCCAAATTACATAAAAAATGTCTTCAGCAAATGTCCAGCAAAGAGCTCTAATATACTTTGTCGTAATGAAAAAAAATCCAGTTTTTAATTCCATAAAGACCAGTATGATTCCTATCCTCTTAAGCAATTCTAAAAGGAAAAGAGTCAAGTAAATAGCATTGTGCAAAGAATTATGTTTCTAAGCGAAAATATTCAGCAACTGACAGTATTGTAACAAACGTATATTGATTGAGTTATGCAATATTTAACAAGGTATTTTCCCAATTACATTTTTAATGCTTCTCATATTACTAAATTGTTGATTTGATACAGTTCTTAAGCTTTCGAATATAATTTGTTAAATATTATGTATTTTATATATAAATCTTTTATTTTGACTAATTTCTTTTAAACAGAAATGTAATTCTATTTCAGTTAAAGCTTCATCTGCTGATGTGGATGTGTATGATCACTTACAGTACAACAGGCCAACAAATGATATAAAACCACAATATCATAGAATGGAAGACACCTTAAAAAAGGGACAAAAAACAGCTACTAAGGACCTCTAATTTTGGTACTGCATTCTGTTCATAATATCATTCCTTCATACTTATTGTAAGCCTCCAAACCATTTTGCGTTCAAAAAGCATCATTTACAAAAACAAAATGCAGTTCTGCCAGTTTATCACTGGATAAGTTCAGAATTCTGCAAATATCTCACCCTGTCTCTTTTTAGCCTTATAGTTTTTCCCAGTTTGATTCAATATCCAAAGTAATTGTTGATTCCAAACCATCAAATTTAAGCATGCATGTGTTTGTGATAATTTCATTTTATAATGTATGGAACTTTTTTTTTTAAAAAAAGAGACACATTTTGTATATTATAGGACAAGAATGAAAAGTACACAACATGAGTAAAAAAAAAAAAAAAAAAAAAAAAAAGGAATTGTATATTACCATGTATTTCAGGACTTGATTTTTAAATGTGTTTACAGCAACAATGCTGTGGTTTACTGTTTTAAAATCATACAACCTTTTAATTATCTGTTCTTTCCAACAATATTTTGTAATTTGCATTTCAATTTATGGTGGAATTTTGATGTGTGGGTAGATACAATTGTGTTTTAAATAAATTCAGGGGAAAATTGATTCGTACATATCTTAATATTTATTGTTTATTAATTAACAATTATTGCAGTTGACTATCAGACTGAAAAGATTGTTATTGCACTTTTAATTGAGCTTTTAGTAAATGTTGAACTTTTAGAAACATTTTTAATATGAATTTATTAATCAGTATCTGTAAATATCTGTATATGAGTTTTATTTTTATAAGTAGCATTTAGTATAAAATATATAAACCTTATAAGGAAGTAGTTGAAAGTTTTAATCGTGTAAATACCAAATAAAACTGCCAGTATATTAGTATTAGTTAATACCATGTAGATCATTACAGAGGAATATTTAACAAATATAACTGAAGCATAATTAAGGAGAGAACAGTTTGGAAACAAAAGTTACCTGTTTTTACATAGGTAGAAAAAAATCAGTGTTTTATAAACATCTTCTCCCCCTCCCCCAGGTTTGCATATGTAATTGAAAATAGCTAATAATGCACACTTTTAAGCATTTTTTGGTGTAATCAAGCTGTTGAATTTTTAAAGAAAATATTTTATACAAGTTTAACACATTAAATATTGTTTCTTTTATTAGATTTTATTAAATTAAAAAGTGTTTTATGGCTTTAGTTCTTGGTTCACCTGTGGTCATAAATGTTTGATTATTTGTATTAAAAGTGATTTTTATAAGTTGTAGAATTGTGAATTTCAGATATGTATGCATAATTTAAATATTTTTCCCATAGAGAGTTAACAGTATAATGTAACTAGAAACTGCAGCTAGTTATTAAACTTTTAAACTTATATGCTGTTTATTTGATTAATTTTGTAATATAAAAACATAATGTAACATAAATGAATGAAAACTACCTTCAAACAAGAAAAAAATTCTTTATTCAATCACATTTAAACTACTTGGACAATTTCTAGCATTGCTTACTAGAAAAAGCATAGTTTTTTTTTTTTTTTTTTTTTTTTTTTTTTTTTTTTACAAGGCTATGGTAAATAGGACATAAAATGTGTGCGTTTATCAGAGTTCAATACATTTGCATTACAATACAGCATTCGTTTCAATATTAGAACATAAATACAAATTTGCTTTCCATAAAATGCTAACAAAAGAATCTTGCATATTCATATACAAAAAAAAAGCATTATTTAAACTGTTAAAGCATGAAAAGATGTTAAACATACTTTCAATTAATAAATCTAATTTTGTTTCATTCATCATCAACTCGTTTGAAAATTATATACAAATATGAGAATAAGCATTCATATATACAAACATGTCTTATAATGACTTTCTCAAAAAGTAATATTACAATGCTCTCAAGATCTAAACTTATTTGAGAAAAATTAGACAATGCAATCTTCATAAAAACGATTATATTTGGTTTTAGTGAGAATATTTTGATTTCATGCAAGAAAAAAAATCATTGTAAAGAAATTTTAATAATTAAAGTATAGGTGCTTGAAAAAATCTCCTTTCATACTACAGATATGGGGATTTTGCAAACTGATACTAAAAAAAAAAAAAAAAAAAAAAAAAACTGAAGAAAAATGGTTTATGAAAAGTTAAACGTATAAAATAGATAAATGATTTTCATGCTCATGGAAGTTCAGTTTAAAACAGAATTAACTCAAGTACTTAATATAACATTTCAGGCCATTACAAACATGAAATTGCATGAATTATTTTATAAAACGTTTATGTTAGTCAACTGATAAGAGCCTTTGAAAGGTATCAGCTGAAAGAGTTTGGCAGGATCTCTGAAAACTACACATTCTAGCTACAAGACAAACAACTCCTGGAAAATATTTAGATAATGCAATAATTATATTTCATTATAAAAATGTATAACAAATATACAAAGAAAAACTTTTTGAGCATTCATACTCATGCATAGATTCTTGTACAGTTGTTAATGTTTAGGAAAATTTTACGGTTTTAAGAATCAGTATTCATTAGATAATTTTCTCAGCTCTTGAAAAGATAATCTTAATTTTCAGTTTTAACTTCTTGAAGAATATAGAAATTTACTTCATATATACCTTAAAATGCACATATTATGAATTTGTAGATTAATAAATTAATAACTTATTTATCTTAAGCATTCTATATATTTAATTTGAAATAATATAATCTTATCTTGATGATTTGTTCATTTCTATATATTTAATTTATACTAAATTTTCTTTATCTAGTTTATGATGATTTTCAAGTTACAATTTATTTTCATTTCTTAAATATATAATTAGAATATAATTTGTCTTGTTTTAAAACTGATAAACATATGAAAGAAACAAAAAACATACATCATAAGTTATCAAGTATGTGTTGAAGAATATGGATTATTTTATCAAATTTATTTTATTTTACATGCAGTGCCAACATGTACAGAAGGGTGCCAAAATTCCTTATATATTGCTTGAATTTACATTATGCAAGATATGTTCTCAAATTTCTTAATTTCCAAGAATAAAATATGAATAATATATCGTGGGAATTTTAAAAGGAGAATATGTATGTATCAGCATATGCTTGATTATTTTGCATGACTACTAAACATGAACTTCGTAAAAAGTATCAGAGAAAAGAAATACTTTATTGATTCGGAGATGAACAAGAAAATATTATAACTAATATTTATTACTTTGAATATTGTTTTGCGAATACTTTCTCACTAATATATAGGGACTAGATATAAGTGCTACAAATAAGAACACAATGTATTCTACATTCAGATGCAAGACCAAAATTCACAAGAATTCCAATCGTGCAAGTGAAATTTGATCTACTCTTTTGCATGACTTCTAAACCATACCTTTAAATATAAAAAACTGAGGTTTCTGTGCTGTGCAATGATGCCATTTCAAAAGAACTACAAATTTATTTTAATTCACTTTATAATGCATGAGCCAACATATTTAATTATTTATAATGTCATCCGATATAAAACATATTAATTTTAATTAGATATTTTTAATTTTATGTTTTTTTGGCTAATTTCATTTTGTAGTTGTTCAAGTACTTTTAAATACAATGAAAATTACTGTACATATTCTTATATGGATAAGCTGAGTAATGTACCAGTTATTGATTTGAAACAATTCAACACAAACTAATTCAACATTGGTTGAATCTTTATAAAAATTCAGTCCTACGAAGGCCCCCAGAAGACAAAAGATAATTCAGATCAAATGAAATATAAGGATTATGTTGAAAATCACAACAGGCAGGAAAATGGAGAAATTGCACAATTTAAATTTCATTAATTTAATAAATTTTATCAATCACCAGTAAGGTGAAAAACCTGGGTTTTTTATTATTATCTGTGATTAGTTTCTATGAAACAGTTACAAATGCAATTGACATGTCATTGATATGGAAGACCTGAAATATAAAAATATGTAATGGAGAAAATATACCAAGATATTCAACAGTAAAAAATTAAACAACAAAATTGAGTTTCTGAATCAAAGTAAAACCTTCAAATTCTAAAGATGCTATTATTAAAAGATCCATTTTGCATAATTTATCATTTGCATGCCAGACTATGGCCTGAATTACAGATAACATTCAACCATATATATTCAAAGATTCAAATTTTTAAAAAAAGCTTCCCACACCAAAAAAGAAATTTCAAAATGCCCTATATCTAAGCTAAATACAAAATTCATAAAACATAATAAACTTGGTATAAAGAAAAGTTATATTTCTGAAGTCATGAAATAAATATTTAAGTCTGAATGTAATGCACACATTATATATAAATTATGCTTGACACAAATTAATGTTCATATTTACTATATTTTGCACTGACAATATGCTTTGTATATATATATATATATATAAAAGCTATAATTTTAAATCACAGTTTACATCTGCAGCTAAACCTCTTAGGATGTTTCTTCATAAAATTTGGGAAAATATTTTCATTGTAAAATATAGTCTATTTCCAATGATTTGGGGGGGGGGATTATTATTGAAAATTTTTCAAAAACAATTGCATACCATTAAGCTTACAAGTATAGGGTAAACAAAATCTTTCCTTTAAATATATGAATTTAAAAAAAAAGATTTGAAGTATGATTTACACAAGTTTTGATATTGGATATAGAGGGTTAAATGTGGGATCAAAAAAAGCATGGGTACCTGTATTCATTCCATACTCTCTATATACACATAAATGCATAGATTTTTTTTATATTTATATTATTATACTGATTACTGTTAGCTGTAACATATACACAGGAATAACATCAATTTTGTATAGTTATATTTGTGTAGTTTTACTTTCTAAAAATAAAATGCATTTTCTCACAAATTTCAATTTTTTTCTGATACTGAATTTTGGTTTGCAGTTACTTTTAAGACTCATTTTATAAAAGCATAGGTTTAATTCCTATACAGCTTGTTTTGTAAGAAATGAAAATTTCTGAATTCAGTTATTCATAAAAAGTACCTAAAAGTAATTTTCACACTGCATTTTTCTCTGTATATTTATTCTATAGAAATTTGACAAAAAGTATTTTTCATTTAAAAAAGCAGATGTTTACAAAGAAGCTTTCTTTAAAAAATTCTTAAAAATTTGCATATTTTCTACACTCATTTTTTTTTCTCCAAATGGAGATGCATTTCAGTTCCATTTATAAATTTGCACTGATTATTGCTCTTTTTATTACACATCTGCAATTCACCATAAATTTCTTGACTGGAAATCCTTTCAGTAGGTTTAATTGTATATATAATTAATCTAAAAAAATTTCAAATTTAGTATTACTAATTTGACTACTTTTATGCTAATACAGTTTTCTTTAAACAATTGCATTACAGAGTTGTAAATTTTAAGAAGCTAAGGATATTTAAAAACTGAATATTGAAACTGCATTGACTAAACAATATGAAAAATGCATTAATTTATTTTTAAATAGCACACATTTTATACTTAATCTGCATAAAAAATTCTACTGTTTGTGAAATATACAAAAAATATGAATACTATCCTTTAAAAATTTTTTTTTTAAAAAAAACCAAGCTTATGGTTTATAATCACAGAAATAAGCTTTTAGTTTTATGGAAAGTATCTTGGTAAGACAAATTACTTAAAATTTACTTAAGTATATAAAATAAACAGAATAAATATTTCGTTTATTAAACAGTGACTGAACATTTAATTATAACATTTCAAAATACTTAAAGCTCATGTTGTGCGTTTCTTTTCTTAAAATGAAGATTTTGGAAAAATACTCATACTACAGTATGGCACTAAATGTTACGGTTGGCAATATTTAACCTCTTGGTGCACTCAAGTATGCTAACTAGGGTACACAGAACTAAATTATTTTGCACACTTGAATTAATGTGTTTAAGAATTTTTTTCCTGAATATGAATACAACAGAATATATCTGTTAAAGTTGCAAGTTATTATTATTATTTTTTTTTTTTAAATGCGGGAAAAAAGACCACTTTCTCAATTTTTATTGTGCATTAAGGAGTTAAAAGCATAAATCAGTAAGCATATTTTAATTACTCAACAATTTCCTGTACTTTTCTTAAATGTAAATGCATTAAAAATTTGCAAAAGGTTATATAAAATGAGATATATTTTATTTTAAAATACAGCATTTCATTTGTATATATTATCACTAGTTTTTATATTTTAAGCTATATAAACTGAAAAAATGACCGATATCATTGAAATACTAGAACATTTGATGTGCAAAACAATTGAAAAAATAAGTTATACAGTAAATTTCTAACCTATTAGCTACCATAAGCAAACGCAGATGGTTTCATAAA